TCTTTTTTTTTTTCCACCCCTCTTCCGACCTAAGAAGTGTCTCCCCCCCCCCCCCCCCCCCCCTTTTTCAAGTTCATGTCTCATGTCTTGTTCTAAGGAACAACTTACAGGTGCAGGTACGACACCTTCTTACCTCAAGGACACGTTTCTGAAAGAGCTGACCTTCCTGACATTGCTCTGGGTTCGCTTCCTGGTTCTTCTCAACTACCTGTGCCTTGTGACCAGTTGTTGACTCTTTATGGACAGGGCCAAATGTAGTCTCAGCGGCTGGCTGGTTCAGAGGACTTTCCTTCACTGGGACTTCTGTTGGAATAAACCCCAAAAAATATTTCAAAAATTAAAAATGGGTGCCAACGATAACTTCAACGCTACAACATATGAACAGCCCCTGCTCAATGCTTTTCAGTGCGTTAGTTTGACATTACTGACCCAAATTAACAAACCGTTCCCTTTGGGTAGATAAACAACTATCCAATCTCAACAACGCTCACGTCTTAATGCAATCAAAAAACACTGGTATGGATTGCTTGTTGAGACGCCTTCTAGCAAGATGTTCAAAATATGGAAATGCATCACCTGAGGTTTTTGTTGGTGTCTGAGATATGGTGTCTGTCACTTCGAAGGCTGACTTGACAGTTCCAGGCAACTCTGAATTTATGGGTCCAGTCCTTGATAAGCTGGTCGGTCTGGGCTGCACATGTTCCTTCAAGATCAGAACTGATCCGAGCCTGCCCTGCTGAATAACGACTAGGTCCGCCACTGCCTCCAGCATCTCTCCAGTGGTGTAGAAGCCGTAGTTGTGGACACGCAGCGGGAGGCCGAAGGCGCGCAGGAAGCTGGACTCCAGGTCAGACAACCTGAGTGGACCCTGGGAGAGAGGCCACTTCGTTTCAAGAAACATTCTGCAGTAACAGAGCTAAATGCTTTTTGTTCGAAAAAATAACATATAGAACACTACTTCTCTGATTTAGTAGGGTGTGTTTGAATAGTCAATTGCAGTTTAGACATCATTTGTCAATAAAAAGCTCAACCTCACAGGTTTACCTTCAAGTCATACCTGGGAGAGCAGTATGGAGAGCTGTGCCTTGAGCTGGGCGGGAACAGCCGGAGGAGCACGAGCTCTTCTGGGGAGGACCACAGCAGAGGACGGGTGACGGTAGCGGGGCGAGAAGTAGCTCATACCTCCCCTCCGAGTATTCTTGGTGGACTTCGGCAGACGCTGCTTAGCTACTAGCGCCTCAATGTATCGGGTGGAATCGTCGCCAACAGCTGCGATTGCGACATGTAAAAAGGTGACAGCATGAAGTATAGGAAACTTGTTCAAATGTTTGATAGGTAAATGTTTGAGAGGACTTTCATGCATTTTTTTTTCTCAAAGCTGAATTGACTGTGTTCAAAGGACGTTACCCTTTAAAAATGAGCTGCCATCTACCCTGAAGTGAACAGATACCACATCAGGCATCTCCTTCACCATATCCATGATGTGTCTGAAGCCCAGGACTTTCAGCGGCATGGGATGCCCCATCATGGAGATATAGTCTCGCCTGAGCTGATCAGCGTCCAAGCCCATCTTTGATGAAATGAGCAAGGAACGCACTTCTACCTTCAGCTTTGCCAAAACCTCCTCCGGGTTCATCCTGCCTGCTGACATCTGGGGAAGACAGCAAGACGACATGATGGAACAAAACACGAACATCACTGCACAACCTGAACCCAAGCAGGTGGTTGGAAGACCACCTGGAGAGAAATGCAGAGTCCTCAATGCTGGAATAAAGTTACAAATGCTATTGCTATGCTATTTGATTGGGGTTTGCTGCCAAAAATATCTTGCGTTACCTTTTTATAAATATAAAATTATATGTTAAAATTTTGCACTAAGATTCATTTAGAAAAAGCAAAAAAAAGACTGTCAGGAAATGTTAGCAGTGGATGTCATGGCGTTAAACAAACTATTCGGCCACCTTTAAGAGTTACTCCACTGCCTTACACCTGCACAGTAGCAGCATGCTAACGTTACTTGTAACCGTCATGACGGGTCCAACAAACCTTCTTGAGGTAATTGTTAACACACCTACACCATGAACACGTGTTACCTTTTGCTATGCAGACACACCACCACCGAATGCACAATTGTTGAGATAACAAACGCGAACGTTAGCATCCAACTTGAACATGAAATCCAGTTTGCTGGATGCCGCTGCTGCAATTTTAAATTAGTTAACGTGAGTTAGCATTTCCTTTAAATGCCGACACCGACCAGAACGGGCCTGTCTCGTTTGAATTGTTCCAAAAATATTGTGCACACCTTACCCCAAATAGTCAACCGGTTCGTGTCCTTTAACCTCCACTCTCTGCACACCTGTTGCTAACAGACCGCCACACACGTTGATAGACGGTAACGTTAAGTGTGACGTTAAAACAGCAAAAACTAAAGGGACCGTGGGACTTGTAGTCGACAAGTGACTTATCTGCACCAAAACCTGTTCAAAGATAGCGTGCAATAAATAAAAACACAGAGCCGTTATTGCTTAGCTAAACAGATCGCCACGAAAACTCTTGCAGTCACCTCACCATGGCAGCAGCAATGATGACTAACGAAGAAGACAACCAGAGAACTCGCGCACAGTGGCTTATTTATAGATACAACTAGGTATTAGGTATTGGAGCTGGATGATACGGCTACGAATATAATTTCAAGATTTTCTAGCATTGATATGGCTTTACAAATGGATAAATTAAAAAAAAAAACAGTTACTGATCTGTTTCGACTGAAGAAGCAGCGGCGCCCCCTGGTGTTTGGAAAGAGAAGTGAAAAGCGTACAGCACCTGGTACTCCCAGGCGGTGTCCAATTCAGGTACTGACCAGGGCCGACCCAGCTCACCCCCCGCAAACGAGATCGGGAGCTGGTCAGAGAGGTGTGGCCATAAGCAAAGATTGTACCAACAATTGTTTTTATTGTAGTGGAGTGAAAAGTACAACATTGCCCTCTGAAATGAAGTATAAAGTAGCATAACACTAAAAAAGTACCTCAAGCCTTCACTCAAGTACCTCTTTATCATTCATAGGAAAACTGTATCACTGTAATAAGAGCTCAGAGTCCTTGGCCAGCACTATAATGTCCCTATGTACACACATTATGTACACACATTCACAAAGCTGTTTATGATGGTGATGGTTCTTTTCGTTCATTATGTTGTCGCTTATACGTCCATACCACCCTGAACCTCCGAGATTCATCATAACTCCACATAAATGACGACAATTGTCCAGCTTTTCATTTTTAGTTTCTCACTTCTGTTTTTGTGCTGTATTTGCAGGAATTATTTGTGTATGGTTTTTATTTATTCATTATTTTATTTTCCTGGAATTCATTTTTGTCTGACGGGGCTTGGGTCTTCTGAGTTATTTTGGTGTCTTATTTGGTTTCTGGGCGGTGTTTGTTTTTGGGGAGTATTATTAGTTTTGTACATGGTTATTATTTTTCATGTGAATATTGTGTAAATAGCATTGAAAAGATTTTTCCTTTTAGTGTTTAAACTTGTATTTTTGATAATTGAAAGTACCCGCCTGTGAAAATGACGAGCTGTGATTTGACAATGCACAATTTTTTAGTTTAATTAAGGATCTATTAGGGAGGAGACTGTGTGTCGTGCCCTGTAAAAACAGAGGAAAAACCTCCATCAGCTCTTGGGAAAGGAGAGGCCTGAGTCTGCACATTCCAAATGAAGACACTGTGACTCCCTCAGCTCTGCTGACACAATTTGTCCCAGCAATTACCTTTGAATGGCTTTGGATTTACAAGGGAAGAAGCATAATCCAAACAAATGCACCCAGTGACTCAAATATTGAGTTTTTTTATGCAATTAGTGTGCCTGTTTTATATTTTATATGACATTCACTCAAGTAGCATGTTCTATGCATGATTCAATCGCATAAAAGTATTTCTTTCTCTTCAGGACACCCTTTGCCAAGCGCCTCCACTAACTTTCCAAAGCAATGATGTCAGATATTTTAGTGGGCTATGTATACCAGTACAGCATGTATAGTATATAGCTGGGAAATATGAGGATGCATCTTGTTGTTATTGATGATATTTCTGTGACAGAAACAAGGGCTTCCAAGCTGTAACAACTAAAGAAAACATCTGATTGAGTTAAAAGAACCAAAAACTTGATACTGTTGTTGTTGTTTTTTACCCTTGTTCGAGCTTTTTGATGAACACGAGCAAAGAATAATGCTAATAAATTAAACAGAATAATGCTGAAATAAACTCATCCAGCAATCCCTGGATGTTTGGAGTTTATGTAAGGCCTTTCTGAATCAGGCAGAAAAGAGGAAGAGATTTGCTTGCAGATGAGGAAATGACCTGTACATGAGAACCTATCATTATTACTGTATCTTCACGCTTCTCCCCACATTATTATCCTTACTTAATGTTTGGTTTGCTGCTTTGACAACATAAAGCCTGTTGAATACCATGCTCACAAAAGTTATTTGAAAATTATTTGAAAAACAGAGAAGGTGGTGTGTGTCACTCCCACTGCTGTCCTACTCCCTAGACAGTCAGCCTAATTTACCATCCATGTAGTCTGTGTGATTACCACAGTAGACAGCAGCACCACTGACTCCAGCTACAGACCTCCAGCCAGAGGAAGCAACTCACAGCAGTAAAAGTCCCTATATTTCTCAGTTCTCTCTGCTTTCACCCAAAAAGAAAACCATCTACTAACCCATCGAGCAGAAACATCCCAACAGCCATCACTCCTATATGCTCTTCACTGCAGAGCCTCCGGCCACTATGGACAAGTCCTCCGATCTCCACCCCGGTCTCCCGTCGAGATCCAGAATGACGCCCAAGAGGGAGAGGGAGAGCGGAGCCTCTGTGCCTCCCAGAAGTCACAGGCAAAGGCCATTGAAGGCAGGCCGGGTCCCCGGGGCAACATCAGTGAGGAAAGAGAGGCTGCAGAGGGAGAAGCTAGAGACAAATGAGGTGAAGGTGGAGCAGGAGACAGAAGTGAAGGTGAGAACCACTGTGGTGGACATAGACAGCGTGAGAGACAAGGAGGTCAAGGAGGAGAACCTGGGCCTCCTGGAAGCAGCAGAGCCGGAGGAAGGTAAGTCAAATCCTGAAGGAAAGCCTGGCACATTTTATATGCAGTTGTGAAAAGCTCAACAGTTGTTTAGTTGTTTCCAGTTCGGCGTTCTTAGGAAGAATAAATCTTGTGATCGTAAAATGTCTTTGTTAAATTTCTTGAAGCGTTCTGGAAAAGAAATTATGGATAATAAGATAAAAAGTATTGTGAATTCAAGAATGCAATGATACAAATAAATTACATTTTCATTTCAATTTTGCAATAACATCATTCTTCTTGGTAGTGACAAATCATAACAAAAGAAAAAAGTCTTGGGACATTTTTGGAGCTTGAAAATTGCAAAATGAATCAAATTATATTTAGTCTGAGTATCTTGGTTGGGTTTCTTCAAACACAGTGTGGATGTGGATCTCTGCAGGTCTGAAGCGCAAGAACCTGGGAGTGTTTGAGTGGCTGCTGATGGTCTTCGTCTTGGCTCTGGTTCTCCTCATCCTCCCTCTTTCCATCTGGTTCTGTGTCAAAGTACGAACTACAACACAGACCGAACAGAAACCAAACACATGGATAATAATCTACTTTAAAAACTAGTGGGGTTTCTTCAACAGAAATTATGCAAAACAAACCAGGCACATGGAGTTTGTGATGGAGAAGTTAAAGGCTGAAGAATAACATCATTCATGATTATTTTGACTTTTTGAGACAGCTCTTTATGGTGAAAATACTGTTTCCAGCTTTTCAACTTAAGTGGGGGCGCCGGTGACTAAGTGGAGAGCAAGGCCGTCCTTAAATCGGCGGTTCGAACCCCGGCTCCGCTAGTCGCATGTCGATGTGTCCTTGAGCAAGACACTTAACCCCAAAATTGATCCCGTGGCTGTGCCTACGGTGTGATAGAATCTGATTTGTAAGTCGCTTTGGATAAAAGTGTCTGCTAAATGTCTGTAATGTAAAGAGAAATTAGTGAATATTGGAGAATTTTAAGCATGCCAATGGGCTATTTTAGAGAGTCAGCATTTTCACCTTTTAGCCTTTGTTTTAAATCGAATGCAATGTACTGGAGTCACAGCCAACATAACAAAACGGTGTCAATGTTCTAATACTTTCTGACTCCATTGTTATTGTACAAAAGTATTGTATAAAACACTGGCCTACTTGTCCACTTGACTTGTAAGTCAGTGCAGCCATCACTGTCTACCATTCACATGGACTGACTGATGTCTGTCATTTCGATTGACAGATAGTGAGGGAGCATGAGAGAGCAGTGATCTTCAGACTGGGTCACCTGCTGCGTGGAAGACCCAGAGGACCAGGTTGTCACCAATTACTGTACTTTCTTTTATGCAACACAGTTGACTTGTCATTTCTGAGGATGTGTCAGTGATTTTAATTACTGGTGGGTTAGGGTTGGCTTGTGATCATATAGCTAAATCGTGTTAAAGTTTGGACGACCCTCAATTAGTTACATTCTTTTAGTCATCATCAACCTTTCTCCCTCCTCTCTCCAGGCCTTCTTTTCTACCTTCCACTCCTTGATGTGTGTCACAAGGTTGACATTCGACTGACAATGCTGAAGGTTCCTCCTCACACGGTACAGAACAATTCCCACTCAGCTCCATATGTAGAAATGATTACTATACGCACTTTGCTTTCCCTAAAATCTTTCATAGTCCATAAAGAAATCAGACTTATTTGTCACTTACTAGTAAATGTCATCAGCTACTTTCACTGAAGTATCTTCACAGAAGTTTACAATGAAGCAGGATTCCATCTTTGTCACACAGTGTTTCTCAAACATTTCGGACGATGAGTAAATTAAGTGCTCCCCGCTGAAGCAATTAACTAGACAGTGATGAGGATTTGATTTCATTAGACTGCTGACTTCTCATACGTCTGTACCCAGGTGGTGACAAAGGACTTGGTGAGGCCGGAGCTGAGTGCAGTGTGTTATTACCAGATAGAGAATGTGGCTTTGTGCAGCGCAGCTCTGTCCAGTCCGACCACAGTGCTGCAGACTCTGGTCCAGGCAGTGGTCAGAGACATACTCGCCCAACGCACATTCAGCCACATCCTGCTGAACAGGAGGAAGATCGGACAGCAGATACAAGCAGCTGTTGACTCTGTTGCTTGCCGCTGGGGCATCAAGGTGGAGAGAGCAGACATGTGAGACAGAAGATAAAGAAAGATGATTTATTGTAATTAACTTTCCTCGGCAGCATTTATCTTAGTGAGTTTCATTGGAAGCCAAGACTTAAACACGTGGTAGCATCGCATTCTGGTCTACCTCACGTTACTGTGGATGTAGAGTCTGGTCTTCATGTCCCTCCTACTACTAATGTCCTGGGTGAACATTTATGATTGAAGCTCTTGCAGGGACTGGCAGCAACACCTGATATTAACAGCTGATGCTTTAAATGGCTAAAGATAACCAAGAGCTAAAACAAGAAGCGTCTGTTTCGTACATTACAAAGGGTTCATAAAAAATGCATCACTTTCTGTGTGAAAAGTGTTTTTCCTCTGACATCTTTGATTGTTCCTGGTAAACCATAAAGAGAAATGTAGAGATTTGTAGTGTACTGGGATCTTCCTGCTGACCAGGCTTGTGTTTGATTTCCTGTCAGAGACGAGCTCAGTTTTCCTGTGGAGTTACAGCAGAGTCTGGCTGCCGAGGCTGCAGCCAAAAGACAACACCAGGTCAGAGTGAGTTACTATGCTATACCCGTGTATTATAAAACACTGTTCTACATGTTAATGCCTGCTTTTGAATATTATGTGTTTATGTTCATCGACTTTCATCTTTTTTGGTCAAATATTGGCATTTGACTCAGGAACTTTATTATTATCAGTATTATTTGAAAAACATTTGGAAGATAAGTAGAAATACACAGAAAGACCTTTATGTTTACGATTATAATATGTCTAACTTTGGCAGATCCTTGCGTAGTATAAAAGACAGTAGCTGACACCAAAGATTGCTAGTGGCTGATCTCTGTTCCGATGCCTTCCAACACTCTGCTCAATGGACTAGTTTGTTTCCATTTCAAACCATTTAGCTGTTTTTCCAGCCCAGAGCACAGCCTTGGTTTATCCTGTGAACTGAAGTTTACCTCTGCCAGTGAGATCATTTCTGCATCCCCAGTAATATTTCTGTACAGAAAACATGTTTCCAACAGCAGTCTCTCTCTCCCCCAGGTAAAAGCAGCAGAGGGGGAGAGAGATGCCTGGGAGGGGTTGAGGGCTTCTTTCCGTCTCCTCCATCCTGCCCTGGTCCTTCCACTCCCCCAGGATCTCCTGAGCGTGACCCCTGACCTCTCATCTCTACCACTCCCTCCTCCCCCTGCTGTGGAAGGAGAGGGTGGGATGACAGAGGGGGAACCAGATACAGACTCACCAATGATGTGACTGTTGTGACGTGAAAGTTTATTATGATTGAAATGTTATATTTCATTCACAATTTACAATTTCCATGTAATGTCTGTTTATTTTTTGGAAGGAAACAAAAACTAATTTGCCTTTACTTAGAGTCAGACATATCACGAGGTCAAACAAAACCACATCAAGCCATTATATAAATGATAACATCACTATATTCATTCTCATACAACAGACTAGCGGTATGAATATTGGACAACCTCCTGATGATAGTAGCAATATCTTTCTGTATTGTCTTTTACTTCCTATGTGTTATACTTATTTGTAAACTTCTGAAACAGTACCGTTGTTGGTAATATGCAGCAGAAGTGATAATACCTTAGATAGTTTTCCTTTACTGGTTTTATGAATGTGACTGCGATGGACTGCAGGTGATGAGCCTTGTTACAACCCAGAAAATGCATTAACACTAAAATTGATTTCAAAACTACTTCACCCAACATTTAATGGAGAGCTCCACACATAGATATAAAGCTGTGACAGCTCCTGATCACGTCACATCACCGTTTCTTGGTCTTTTTGGTGCTGCTTGTTGGTTTGGCTTCAGCTGTGGTTTTCTTTGGAGGAGCTGGAGTTGTTACTGGTAGTGGGGAGGGTATTGGTGTTTTCTTTCTCTCTGCAACTAAAACAAATGTACTGTACTACATGTACTACCTTTATGTTTGAATACTGTATTATTGTCTCTCTGTCTCAGTTACAAGATTATAGAATCTTTTGTTTAGGCGGTACCTTCATTACTTTTGGGCTCCAGACTGGGCCGACCCTGCAGTTGTCTCTCCAGGTCCTGAATCTTCTCCAACGCTGCTTGCAGGGCTTCCTCGGCCTTGAAGGCTCGCCGCTCGGCACCCTGGACACGCAGCTCTGAATCACTGACACATACATGGAGAGAAATCTAACCTGGATGCCTTTTGCACAGCCGCAGGTCCACTCTCCATCTCTGAACAAACACAAACTCAGCTAATATGTGGACATTTACCAAACTTATTTCAATACAAAAGCATGGCTGTTCAGCCATGGTGGTAAATGCTGCTCATGCTAGCCCCCCAGTTGTTATTTTAAACAACAAAAGAAACATCAATTCCTGTGTGGCACATTGAGCTTATAGCCAACAAGTGTTTAAAACAGTACATGCACAAACAATCTATTGACTGTTGTCCTTTTTGGAGCAGTCATGAATAAAACATTGACAGCTTGGGATATAAGAGGGAAAAAAACATAGATTTCCCCTTTAAAGGGTGATGCAATTGATATCATGTAACAGTATTACAAAAATGTTCTACTTAACATTAAGAGAGTTAACTTACTACAGTTCCTGCTGCAGTAAACCTACTGTGGTCAGATCACTAAAAGCTTTCTGGGCTTCATCTGTTGCTGGAGATACAACCAGCTCCTCAGTCTGACAGACAGAGACAGACAGACAGATGGTCAGAGAGGCGGACAGTTTGTTCAGCTCTATAGACGGTGAAAGGCATGACACTAACACTGGAAAAAGTATGTGATTTAATTTTCTGACCCCGTTTAGGTGGACACTGCTCTCTTCCAGCTTTCTTTGTGTAATGTTTCCATAATAGCTTATCAGCTTCACCACTGGGGTCTCAAAAACCGCTAGCTCCCCCTGCAGGACAACAACAGCAACACTGGTACTTTTAGCAAGTAAGTCATAATGTACCAAGAATATGTGAAACAAATTGTGTTCCTTTAAAAAGACCCATTTGTAAAATCCTTTTTATTGAATTCCTTAAAACTGCTCTATCTTGAACACAATTCTACAAACTCCAAGATACTCCAAAGCTCTATAACCGTCGCAATGAACCATGAATGTGTAATTCTACTGTTGAAGAAGTACACTTGATGGAAACTGTATTAATACCTGATAAACCTCTTGTTGTGTATCATGTCCCTCAGCAGTGCCCTGTGGAGAAACAAGAGTACAATTACTGCCCTCATCATTAGCATCATGATTATTACTGAATTGGTAACAGATGTTGAATATATTATCTAGAGCATATTATCATTTTGAAAAAAAAAGGATGCATATTATACAAAAAATGGAAACCAAACAGCGCTGGTCAGTAAAATAAAAGTCCAAGTTAATGTCATTAATCAACCTATACATAATAGTTATTTATACTGTCTAGGCCACACTTATCCAAAATATACGTATATAGTCTAAATGGTTACAGGGTGTCATTGAGCTTTTTACTCGTAGTCCACAGCTGTTAAAATGACTCACCTCTCTCGGTTCTGCCTCAGTCTCATCTGTGACCTCACTGTCTGCTTTAGGCTCTGCTGAAACCTCTTCGTTCACCTATAAACACACACAAAACCACAAAAACATTGTGTTCCTCTTGCAATTTCCAGATCTCAAACCTTTGTGATGAAGTGATCACAATGTATTTGGGTAACTGATACCAGCATCAGATCCCGACTACAGTAAAGCCTGATACTTGATCAATGGCAATCTTTCCTCTGAAGTCTGTGCTACATTACTGTGGTATCAGTGTCACTGTCAGTCAACTGACACCAGGCTTTCAAGTAATTTCTCCAATAATAAAGAGATAATGAAGTTGAAATATAATAATAAACCACAGCCATGCTCATCTTCAGCAAATATGTTTTAAAGTCAGAATCCAAATTAGGTCTATCCATGTGGGTAGTATTTTAATTGACTCCTCACCAGAGTCTCCATGCTGTCTGCTGGAGAGACCGGGACGTCGACGCTGGAGGCGGGGTCAGCCTGTCGGACAGACAGCTCTACAGGACCACCTGTCACTCCTGAGAGCAGGATTATACTGCTCTCCACCCAATCAGTGCACTCCTTCTGAGGATGGACACAAAACAGCATGTACAGTACACATGTAGGTTTGTTTAGCGCATCTTCCCCTAGTCTGTAAAACCACTATGGCTCCCTCTCCTGGAATTTTTTAATGTTTGAACACAAAGTAAAAAACAACAAGCCGTTGGAATGTAGGGTGGTGCGTATCATGATTTTTCTACTTGCGAAATGTATAAACACGCAGCCCTGATGTTACTATCAAGTCTTTGCCATCTATTTAAGTCTGTCTCATAATTTTACCTGCAGCTTTCTGCACTCATTCATCTTATCTTCAATCTCGACTTCATGTTGCTCCTGCAGAATCAGTTGGCAAGAGCTGGAGTCAAAAACAAGCATTTCCTGATTAGTAAATCCTGGAGAGAAAATCCCCCGCTACTGATCCTTTCAATCTTAGAGTATAACTCAACATACTTAGCCATCATTTCATTTCTGTGTGTTGTTAGTTAAAGCGTAGAGTGTGAAAAGGTTATCACTGCCCTCTGATTCAGTTCAGTACTTGTGCCAGACAAAAAAGTTTACTTATTTTACTGTGGACAAATTGTGAGTTACGTTGGTAAACAGCATCTGCATGACGATAAAATGTAAAAGAAAAATTGTAAAAACTTCAGGTACCTGCTGATGTATAGGGAAATAAAGTTCAGTTTCTCAGTCAGCATCTTGGCATCCTTATCCAGTGTCTGTGGTGAGATGTTTGTAATGTAGTGGTGTTCCTGTTCTTGACAGTGGTCTTCACTATACTCAGGTACCATGAGGAGCAACAGGTCCAACATCCAACGGATCTGTCCCATGTGAAGAGAACTGACCTGACAGGAGAGGAAATACTAAAACTCAGCAAACAAACGCATCATAACTGTGTTCGCCACCTGTATGAGTTGCTGTGACATGTTAGGAGGGGTTTTGATCATTCAGATGTATTGTCTGTGTAACATCTGAGCTTCACATTCATGGAGCTGATATGTTTGTTGCAAAACACTTGATGGAAATGTAAGTGACATTGTAGTTTTAGTGTGTTGACTAAACCTGGTTGTTACTGACCTCCTCACTGAGTCTCTTGTTCTCACCATCAGTGAAGTTGGACAGGCTGGTTATGAACTCCTGCACTTTGTCTAACAACTCTTCTGTCTCTGTACTGTTTGAACAAACAAACACACACAACAGGTAAATAAGTATTTCAATTGCAGTATCAAGATGTATCTTTTTTTCGATGCACTCATTGAAATTGTCTTTCAAAACTATTTATTTTCACCAGCAATGAATAAAATGTGTTTAAAAAAAAAAAGAGACTTGGCTTGTCCAAGGAACTACACATTTCCTCACAAGTGATTCAAAATCACATAAAGAATACCACATTTGTTGTGCTGAAGAACTTTCAAAAGTCTCCTTTTTGCAGCAAATTGACAAACTTATTTTCAAGATGTTGATATATGAGGCATCTGTCTTTTCATTAAATCTATTGTTTGAACCAAACTTACAATATGTCAGGCTTATTTTTGTCCTCTTCGTTCTCTGTCTGATTGCTGGAGATGTTATTAAAGGCTTCTTCAGCCAAACTCTTCCAATTTTGCAGCGCCTTCTCCAGATTCAGCCAGTCAGAAACAGACCAGATCATGTCTGGTCGACCAATCACTGCACCAAGCTTGGAAGCCTGGGACTCCATCAACCTGAGCAGTGACATGATCTGTCCGTGGATCCCTGAAACAGCATGGCTGGAATCAGTTTCAACACTTAAGTCCATATCTTAACGACTGTATCTCACATTGAGGCCCACTAAAACACCAAGAAAAACAAGAGAGATTTATGAGACAGATATACATGAAAAATGAAAAGTGTATACTTTACTTACCCGTCTGTAGGCCTCAAAAATCACAGCTTCTAGCTCATTTTGAATTATTCAACATTGTGTCTCTATCAGCCCTCACCACTGTCTCCACTGACTTGGGTGTCCAGCCGTTTCAGGAGCTCAGATAGGACCTTGTCCAGCTCACTTAGGGCCCGTTGGCCTTCACGGGGTTCACCATCGGGACAAGCGTGTCTTCTGAACAGCTCAAGGCTCATATACCGCCTTCTTTCCTGGACACGGCCGAGCTCGACGAGTGTCTGCTGGCTGCAAAGCAACTTCTCACCTTGATAGCTGTCACACTGGAGGGCCAATGTCTGCAGAGAAACAGAACACAGAGGAGGACCTTAGGATAACAAAAGGAAACTTAGACATACTGTATGGCCCAAATTTCAACATATCCATATCCACATATCCACTTGATAATTGGAATATAATCTGAAAGAAGGATGGCAAAATGGCAACTACTTTACGAGGGAAAAATATACGCATGCTTTAAAAATAGCTTTTCCTGGTCGAGGACAACATCAAGGCATAGACAGATAGATAACATCAATGACCACAACGAGAAAAACATAGACAGACAGAGGAAGTAAATGTACTGTCTTACATTTGACCAGTCCTTCAAATCAGCATGAAACTTTTCCAAAGAAGCTTCCTCATAGTTTGGTTGAGGACAGCTTGAAAGAGAGAAAGAGCATGTTTGGCAGAATACACGCACAGATCAATCTCTTCTTCCTTAAATTGCTCTCAATTACTTTACTGATCATTGACACTATAATGGGCAGTAAGTAGGTTAATACAGTACATCATATTTTCTTTAAAACAATGGATAATCATGAAACCTTACATAATCTCACTGGGTATCTTAGTTTATGCTTACTTGTTCTGCATGGTGCAGAAAACCAGCCACTTAGCGATGCCTTGCTGGATTGCACTGATCTGTTCATACTGAGCATGCTCAGTCTTCTTCAGCTGGGACATGAAAGCAATCAGATGCTTTTTCCAGTAGTCAGTAAGCTCCATGAGGATAGTCAGGTCATCTGTGTCCTATAGCAGGATGGTCACTATCATAGTTAGAGTGTATTTGAACCACCAGGGATGTTTTTGCCATGAGCAATACAGAAAGTGTTAAGAAATAGGAACTGCATTGTTACCGTCGAAGTGAGGTAAAGGCAGCATTGCTCAGCTGTCTTGAACCAGCTCTGCGCAATGATATGGAGCCGACTGATCAGCTGCAGCTTCTTTACACTGATCACCTGACAATCACAGAGACATGTTATTCTTACAACCCAAAACTCAAAGTGAGCAAAAATGTGCACCATAGCTATTTATATATTTCTCATTCCTTCCGATTGCGCTAGCAAAGTCAGTTAATCTATCATCTATTCGGCATAACAGCACATCATCAAAATCACAAAACAACTAACACATGATGTGAGTCCAATTGAAAGAAAAACATTACATCGTGGCTCACACACCTTGAGGGCGAGGCTCAAGGTGAACTGGCTCCAGCAGTCTCTCTCCTCGGTCATCTGGAGCAGCTGAGCCTCAAGGCGACCCCTCTGCAGCTCATACAGTTGGTGGTAACCCTGCACCACACTGAGAAGAGCACATGGACTATTTGAAAGGGGACATCTGGTGGCATTTTGTACTTCTGCACTGCTGCCTGTCTTCAAGAAAATCTGTTTTTTTGTCCCCTTGAAACACAAATTTGAGATTCTAAATTTAAAAAGTAATATATAAAGATACAGTAAAGGCTGCTGTGTACAATACAACAAAGATGCATTGATAGCAGTACCTTACATGTGTAGGTAATTGCTTCTACAGTGTTACTCTTTACTGTATTCCTTTGACATTTTTTGATCAAGGCACAAATAAATCACTTTATAAGTGTCTTGAATTGAATCACTCATATCGACCGGATAATTAAGCTTCATATTAATCACGCTGGTTCATTTTGCAATGCATCAACTTGGTGAAAATGTGTTTTGGACTAAATGAGCAGTGGTTCAATTCATTCCGACTGTACGAGGGACTGACTCTGAGTTGGTGTGAGGCTGCTTGAGTTCCCCGGCCAGCTGCCGGTGAGCGCGCTCCACCTGCTGGGAAACGGAAGCATCATGGGCTCTCATTCTGGACAGCTCCCTGTGAAAAGGATGCACAACCATAAACACTTCCACAGAAAAATGAGCAAACACATTTCTTGTATTCACACATTGTAATGAGTGCTGTTTTAAATTTCTTGCATTTATTATTTACTCTTTGAATAGAATCACTCTTTGAACACGTTCCAGTGCTTAACAGCACACAGTCATTTCATCCATCATGAACCAGCAGCCTGACACCTGACCTACGTACGTGTTGAGCTCCTGGATGAAGGTCTTGATGCGGTGGATCTCCTCAGTGAGCCGGCGGTCCAGAGCTCGCTGTGCCACTGCCTCAGTGTGCAGAGCCTTCAGTCGGTGGGGGATTCGCTTAAGCATGGTCTGGTAGCGCTGTCTGGACACACAAACACAAGAGCTGCCGTGAAAAAGGGCTTCTTGGGGTCATTGCTGGAAAAGAATTTCTGATAATCTCCTAAACTATCCGTCAAAAGATATTACAAAATTAACTTGAGGCTCAATGATGGCTCATTTTATGAGTTCTTATTTACATCCATATTTCCATAATCTGATGCAAAAGCTCATGAAACTCCCTAAACTGTGTTTTACCACTTAAATACCGTCCTCTATTGGCTGCTAACCTGAGTTTGGCAAGCAGCTGTCCTCTCTCAGCACAGCCCACGCTGACCTGCCGAATCAGTTCATGGAAAACAATGTTGTAGATGTTCTGCTCAACCTGCACCAGCTCCAGCAGACCCTCCATCTGTAAGACATTTCATAATATGTATAGCTGGCTATACTAGAATAAAAAAACTCCGGAGCACATTTGTTTTTCATATACTGTAAAGCTTTTACATTACGACAGAAAGATTTCCAGTCGCACCCTCAGAACACTTGGGACTCCAAATCCAACTCAGTACACTCACAACTCCTCTCTAAAATGAGCCCAAAGGCCTGATGTTGCTCGATTATGTATTTTTCTACATACAGCAAATGCAACACAGCACTAGTGTCAGCGATAGAGCCTGTGTACTTTCTGCTTGTGTGTCTGCCTACCTGGGAGAGCTCTGTCAGCTCCTCAATCTGCTGATCCACTCCGGCCTTCTCCAGCATGTCATCTATCATCCTCATCAGCTGGATCACTTCCAGTCTACCACTGGGCCTCCTGGACACACAGAACATACACACATCCCTTATCTTACCAGCACTTTGCCTATACCTTAAGGTACACCGTGCTACTACTTCCTACTATTAAACTGTACCATTACTAATTTAGACAACAAAATCTCCAAGTGAAGTCTACTCGACTAAAATGTATCTGTAAATTAGAAAAATCCATATTTTTGAACTCACAATGAAGGGAAGACCCGCAGCTTCTGCTCATCATCCTTCAGCTGCACTGTGAACGCACTGAGAAGAGAAGCCACGTGAGAGTTTGTTTGAATTCCGAAAAATAAAATGAGGCTACACATGAGAAAGCACACTCACTCCTCGAAGAACTCAAGGCTCCGCAGCCCTTTGTTTTTCACAATGTGATATTCTTCCGGGATCAGACTTTCCGAGACATTCAGGTTCTGTAAGACAGAGTGGCCATGGTTATCACCTCACACTGTATACATATATATAGATATATGGCAATAAATGAGAATTTTAAGTCTGTACTATATGTAAGACAACTGTAAAACCTTCTACTACTGAATGTGAAAAACCTATTTGAATTTATCTCTTAACTTTTACTTTTTATTTAATTATTATTATCTTTTCCCTTTCGCGTGATTGAACAATTAAGTGCTGTAGTTCCTGAGCTGGGATATCTTGCTTATTTGTCACATCTGGTTGATTTTGTTGTATTGTAAAGCACTTGCTTTAATTGTGTGTTGTACCACACATGCTGCTCAGAAAGAAACTCTATCAGGTAGGTTATGATAAATTAAAAATGTGAATTTCGGCACATTCTACGGCCTTCCATATTTTTTGCCATGAAGGGTTAAAAGGCCAAAAAGTCGGACAAGTCACCTAAGACAGTTTACCTTTGTGTCTCCAATGCAACTTCTGTCGGTCAGTGGTGGGAGGGGGGTCATCTTCCTCTGGGTTGCCATAGCATCACGCAGGAACGAAATATCCCTGTATGGACGTCATCCGAACAGAAGAGAAACATTTAAAAAAACAAGCACATCTAATCCCCTTAGGTTATCTGCAGATTGCAGAAATGTAAGACCCTTTGAGACGTCTAATGTTGCCCTGATTCTAGAGCAATAGTATAATTATCTGAGTACAGATAAATATTCAGAAAGAACCTAAAATCCGTTTGGATTTACAAGATGTCCAGTTATGAAAATGCAAAATAAAAACCAAAGCTAGGTTTGTATTCATACTGTCCTGTATTAGTGTCAAGAGTTAACATGCATGTCGGAGTAATGAATACAGTATATGCAACGTTTTATTGGTTGACAAAACACCACAGTTTAATATTAATTTCAAATGAAATCTTTGGATAAACTTCCTTGTTGCAACAACAGCATTGTTTTGTCGGTCCAGCTGACCTGCCTGCTCCAGTCAGGGACGTCGGCTGCTCCAGAAGGAATTTGTATTTATTGCGTCCGAGCCGGTGATGCCAGACTGGATCCGGCCGCCTGATTTCACTGCCCTGTATACAGAATCATCTTAGGAACTGCCACACAGAGAGAACCTTCTTGGGATTAATGGGGGTAGAATATACCTTGCAGTGCTGATGGTGTGCAGTGTGCCCCAGCGTGCTCCTGCTGCTGAGAGTGGAGGTAAGGCTGACCAGCAGTTCATCTGGGAGGATGTGGTTGTTGACAGGAGGAGGTTGTGTCATTCTGCTCTCTGCTGGGACTTGGCAATTCAGTTCCACAACTGAGAAAAATTGAATAAAATGCAAACAAACCAGTAGTATAACTCACCTTGGTATGAGGGGATGTATGTATACACATATAAAGTCTCTAAACATCTTCCTGTGATGATGAACTCCATTGTTGTGATAAATGACATGATGATGCATAATTGTGTTAGTTTGAGGGGGAGAAGCAGAACTTGTATTTATCTTTGGGAAACAGATAAATAGCTGTGTGACTGTAATCGTCGAAGGTTTGTGGCTGTTGTGAATTGACTGTGGCGTGATGTGTGCCGTACCAGTAAGAGTATTGATTTCCTAGCATTAGCTAACCATTTGTTTGTTTACTATCCACGGTAACGTTTAGCTCCCCCACTGACTGTGCGCTAATGTCACCTCTGGTGTCCCGTGCCCGCTCCGGCCCCGATGAATTTGGGGCTGAATTGGCTCTCAAGCACGCAGACATCCTGGACTCACGGCGGAGATGATGTTACGAGAAGGTTTTGGGAACCAAATTCCAAAACGTTGACGAAGTCATGTGGACGAGAAGATGAAAAAAAAAAGAAACGGTCCCTTCCACTCTCCCCCGAGGCTCAACTTCCTGGTCGCGCTGCCATGGAGACGCCCAACGCTGTCCATGGACACTGAATAGACTGTTTATAAATGAAGCTACGAAATACAATAATACATAGTTTTATCCATTTATTAATGCATTTTAGTCTATAAAACAAGTCATACAGGTGATCTTTATTTGTTTACATTGTTTTGTCAACAGGAGGGACACCATGTTATTGTTTTGTAATCAATAAATGCAGCATAAAAAATAGACACAAAAAATACATACGTTAATTAATCGATTAATTAATCAACCAATCAAACACACAATATATATTATAATGTATTGTATTTTTTTCCCTGTGTAGCTACATGTAGTCTAGAAGTCCCACGAGATCATTATAAACAATATTTACAGGACAATGTCATGTTGAAGACAAACATTCTCTTACACTCTTTAATAAATCAATACTTCTATTTTAATCATCGATTCAGAAAATAACTCATTATTTGACTCAGTCATTCCCATGTGTATGTTCTATTCGGGCTCTCTATGGTGGAGATAATTGATTAATAGGCTAATTTAAATTGATATCAAGATCAATACATCACATTGTGATATTTTGAATTCAAGTAGGCTAGATGCAGACACGTGCTGTATACATACGCTATACATTTAGCGACTTCAAGTCAAATGTCGCCTACATATAAATTATAACATTTGAGTACTCTTATCTAAACCCATCAATGTGATGTTTAAATGTTATTCCTAAACATCCTTCTGATATTGCTGTAACCCCCTCCCGTGTGATTCGTCACTGGCCGGCTCTGCGCGGGAGGGTGTGTGTAGCTCAACGCCACGCTGTGGTCTTTTATTATTATTCCATCAAGAAGAGAAGTGTGCATCAAGTGGACCTGGAGGTGACAACAGATGGGTCGCAGCAGGCAGAAGCGGAGAGATCCGTGTATGACAAGACTTCAACACAACGATCAGGATGATTTCCTGTGACGATTATGGATTTAATTCGCTATCATAATTTTGAATTACTTGCGTGCGCTATTCTCATCTCGTCACTGTTCGTGATAGGTGGTAAGTGACTGCTTCTTCTCCCGTGGTTATGAGTTGAGTTCCAGTTGTTTACCATGAAAAAGTCTCGTTTGACGTGAGCTGTAGCTGTATACTCATCATACATTGATTTCAGTAGTTGATGTGTAGAAGTAGATTTTTAGGGCTTTTTGCATTTGAACACCTGCAGAATTAGACTGAGTTGTTTTTGCATCCTCTTAATTCCCCACAGGGTGTTTTCTCTCATGCCTGCAAGTAGCTCTACAACACTAATTTAATGCGTTTATTTTTCCAATACTTTCTTACAAAAGTTTCCTTAAAATGAAGTAAAGCATGTGTTCAGATTGATACCAGCTTCTGTGTTTTGAATCAGAGTTAGAATTGGCTTGCATGTTGACAGTCCATGCTCGGAATATCAATTAAGACTGTGAAAGTTGACATCTTTGCCTGTGGTAATCTTTGCACATCTTCTATGGACAAATAGAAATCTAACACAATGGCGGGCAGCGTAGTGACCCATGAGGGGGTGTGAGGATTGGGGGGGGGGGGGGTAAGTGATGGGACTATATGTCTCTGTGGCTCTACAAAACACCCAACAATAACACGTCTTCTTATCACCACTGAAACAAACAGGCAGACAGATACACCGGCAACACGCATCTGTCAGGTGCCCCACATGTGCCATTCGAGGGCCTCAGATAGCACCAAACAAAGACCCTTACAAGTGATTTGCATATGAAAAAAGCCGTACATGCCGTGGGAGGGGATGTGGGGTTGGCTGGGCTGTGTCTCAAACAGGCAACAGGCCAGGCTCTGAATCGTCTGAACTCTGCCTCAGGGGAATACTGAAGACCACTGGATTCACTAAAGAGCAAATCTTACATCAGACACCACCTGTCATGGTTTCCTAAAATATACATGGATAGTCTTTTTTTTTTTTTGTCCACGGTTATGAGAGTCTATGTTTTTGTAGACATAACATATATACTATACACTGCTGCAACATGCCTCTAATCTGGTCTGAATTTACTGGCTGATCCTTGTTGTAATGAGAGCTGATATAGGCATATGGTCAGAGCATCACCACTGATACCCGTGATCTCCATCACACCCCCGGGACAACCGGCCCATACCTCCATGTCCAAGTCTAGACATGTATAAGCTGCTCCTGGAGAAGCCCAACCGTCTGTAAAATTGATTGACCTCCACCAATGACTGAAGATTGGTGCCTGAGTTGGTGAAGATGGAGCACCAAGTGTAATTGCACTCTTTTACTTCTTTATAGTCTGCACTCAGCCTGATTGCGCTCTTGAAGCATGATTACTGTGCGTCATTATCATCTGTGAAGGATATTACTGGAATATCTCTTTTCATATCTGTGTGGCTACATGTGTGACCCCAGCGGCATAATGATGTTGACTCTTTCTTGCGCCCATCATGCAAAACACACTTTCAGACGTGATTCAGTCTGATTATCATCGAACAGAGGCAACACTTTTCCAGCTGATTTGAAGCCGCCTTTTTGTGGCATCGTGCATCTGTGGCCCCTTATGCACATTCCATAAATTACGAGGGTTGCTGTCTCTGAGCTGGTCCCATTCGTTCTGCCTGGAGTATGGCAATTGTGAGATGCCTCGTGGTAGCAATTGGTCTTTGATGCTTTATTGCATTTGTAAAAGCTGTAGGGGGCCAAGTCTCAAGGTAAGCATGATATTCGTCAGGAAGAGTGAAGCAATAAGCATTGCATCATCACAGGATTGAGGTTCTCAAGAAGTTTGTTTTTCAGGTCACAGTGAAACTGTTTAACCCTTCAGATCTTGCATGACACACTCGTGGGTACATCTTCATAACATTATGATGTGCCGCCTCACGTTGCTCAAATCAATATACTCAAGTTATCTAGAATATGTCGATCGGATGTAATAATGCAGTCATGGCCAATGACATCATGAGTTCAAATATTTTACTCAGTGTAAGTATGAAAAAACTTTGGTTAAGTGTTGGAATACCCAAAAGCAGAATTCTTATTAAATATTCTATATTATTGATGTTTAAGGTGGTTTAGGAGTTAAGGTTGTTTCCCAGAACTATTCTTAATAAAAGGCAGTTGTATTTTTGAGATTTGAGAAATTAACCAAGATTATAGAAAATACTATACAACTGCACATTCCCATAACTTCCTTAAATATACAATTTTTTACATAAATCATAAACATTTTAAGGTTTGAAATAGCAGTTTTACTATAAATCCACAGTATCAGCTATTTTATAAAGCTTATAATTAACAAACAAATGTCCATTTTTGCAAGGAAAGTGGAGTCTATATTTACAGGGAAGTTGTGAACTCTAATTTAAAGTTCGGATCTCGTGTGCGGTTCTGTTTATTTAGTGACCAAAAACAGTCTCTTTCTATTTGTTTGCATATGAAAGATGAGGTGCAGTAGAGTTCTGTCTCCGATGAGATGAGAATCCATGAAATGCAATATTATTTGTTTTTTCTTTTCTAAATGTGTGATACATTTTATGATCATGAAAAGTTCAAAATCAAATAACAAAAAAAAACCCCACTATTTTTAAGACGCACATGATTAAGTCATACACAGAGCGAGAATAACTGCTTTTCATTGTTGTTACTGGGGAGGATGAAGTGCTGATCCTCTAATTAGTATGTAGAGCATGCATTGACAGCAATGAGACCTAAACCCAGAGCAGCGTGGCCTTAATGTCCTGCTGATCAAAACACACCATTAAGTGTAAAGAAGTAAATGCTTCAAATCCTCGGTCAGATGCGGTCACCATGGAAATAGATTGAACACTGAAGCCAAACAGTGTAATTGGTTACCATGGCAGTCAGCCATGACGCCTTGAGAGGCTCTTAAATTGAAAGTCCTTGTACCGACAGCTGCTGGGTTGTTTTTATCAAAGCTAAACAGAAAGGCAACAACTGTACAAATCTAATGCTTAATAATTAGATCATTTTCACAGTAAAGTAGAAACAACCAGATGTTATAGAGTAGAGGGCATTTTTTTTATCATAAGTCACTAATGTTCTTTTAGTTGTAAGAAACTATTGTCTTGCTTCAAAACTAAATGAATCAATATGAGAAGTAGCATATTGCAATTCAAGAGGAATGACAAAGGTTTTTTTTCAGTCTAAGTACAGAGAGCAATGATATTCTGAGAGATCAATATTTCTAAATGTGATCTGTTCATAGGTGCATCTCCTGACAGGCTGCCTTCCCCAGTGGACCAGTGCGCTCCAAACCCGTGTCAAAACAGGGCAATATGCAGAATCCGCGGGGACGGCTACTCGTGCTTCTGTGTGCCGGGGTTCCAGGGCGCTCGCTGTCAGATTGACGTGAACGAGTGTGCTTCACAGCCCTGCTGGAACGGAGCCACATGCGTGGACAGAGTGGGCAGGTTCTCCTGTCTGTGTTCTCCTGGGTTCACTGGTGAGTGGAAGTAACGGTGCTAGGTCTCCTCAGAGCACCTTAAGAGTGAGACCACATCATTTCAATGCTGAATTGACAAAGGGCTTTATGAGAAGGATTCCTGGCCATTTCAGATTAATAGAGAAAACGACGGTGCTTACACGTGCAAATGTCTAACCTCTGATTTGGATGAATTTGAACAAATGTGTGAAATGTTGAATGGGGTTGAACATAGAGGTCATGTTGTTAAAGAGCTGCTAACGTGACTGTAGACTCTTGTTTTCAAAGAAGTCTGGTCAAGTGAGAGTTCAATATGATTTATGATTATTTTTAAAGTAATTTGGAGAAGTAAAGAGTAACTCTGAAAACCTCAACCAACAGCATCTAATGTGATGATTCATTCAATCTCTTACTAGGATGTAGTTTAACTTTATTCTTTTTCTGGATGTCTGGGTCTTATCTTTATTTTATATTCTTTTATTATTTATATTGATATTATTTCCAATATAAAAACAAATCTAGCCTGATAGCATTATGGCACAGGCAAAATAGATTTAGTGACTCATTTAATTGTACATTTAGGCAGTCTAAATCATGTCTTGTTATAGTTGTACTTATTCACCTTAAACTTTCGTTCTCATCTTTCTTCTACATTGCACAAAGACCATACGATTTTTCTTTTTGTGCAGGGATGCATTCAAACATATATTGCCTACAATGCACTGTTTTTAAAATTGCGAACAGCTGCAGAAAGCATTGCTGTGAGCAGTCCACTCATGATCACAGCCAGCACACATGAAAGCTTTGCTCATCTTTGGCCCCTGCCCTCAGTCTGTGTAGCAGGCTCACTCGCCCTCTGACATCTGAACTGCTTTGATGTTTACAGGGGCCATTTGCGAGGTTCAGATTGATGAGTGTCAATCACAGCCATGTCTCAATGGCGGCAGTTGCCAGGACTACGTCCGTGGCTTCTCCTGCACCTGCCGGCCCGGTTTCCAAGGACATCGATGCGAAATCAACGTTGACGAGTGCCAAGAGCATTCATGCCAAAATGGGGCTCTGTGTGTAGATGCAGAGAACGAGTAAGTGGCCCAGACAGTCGTTGGAAATAGTTTATTAAAGCAAAATTGTTCTATAAAATCATTTTAAACCTGTTCACACAGACTTGAAGAAATACGGTAAATATTCCCACTAATGTGATTATCTCAGCTACAGCTGTGACTGCTCTCACACAGCCTTCACTGGCAGACTCTGTGAGACACCACTACTACCGTGCCTCTCTGAGCCCTGCTTCAACAGCGCCATCTGTAAGGACAACCAGGGTAACTACAGCTGTGAATGCTGGCCAGGTACACGAAGCACCTTCTCACTCAGCTAACAGGGAAAAGATTGTATTTCTGAGTAACAGGGTTTTAAAGGAGAGTTTAGAGACACTGGGTAGTTGGGTAAGAGAAACAGGTGGAGGTAAGATCAAGAAGTTAGAAATGAATTTGCAAACAGAGAACGAGACAAGTGCTGCAAAGACAGACGTATACTGAAAACCGCAGTTGACACCAGTCGTTATCAAGATAACAACTGCATGAAGCTGCATACAAACTCAAATTCTGACCCTTTTTACTTAATCTATCTACTGTGTGTTGTCAATCCTACGTATCATTGCCATCAGAAACACTATCTGACTTCCTCATTCCAGGGTTTGAGGGGCGCCAGTGTGATATTGACATCAATGAGTGTGGCAGCAACCCTTGCATGCATGGAGGCCGCTGCATTGAGAGGTCGTGGCAGGTTCTGTACGGCAGCGAGCCTCTGCTTCCTGAACACTATGACCAGCAGCATGCTGCAGGCTACATCTGCAGCTGTCCTCTAGGATCGACTGGTAATCTATTCTGATTAACCAAACTGAATTCATTATGTCTTACGCAGATCTCACATTGTGTGCAGTCAGGTCAAGGGAATGAGCAGTTTCTGGTTGGAGTAACAGCAGGGTGACTGGGTAAATCAGAAATGGGAATGTTTAGCTATATACACAACTAGAAGGGTGATCTCAGTATCTCTGCCTTTAGCATGTTGCCATTTTTTTAAATAAATGAAAGATGCTATAGTCACACAACTTTATGTACGAGTTTTAATTTGAATGCTGTTTACAATTGATAATACTCCATATGATAACATTGACATATTCAGAGTATATTGTTGGTGCATTGATGCCCAGAGAAGCTTTGCATTGTTGCAGGGATGTTACATCCAATTATACTTCAGTTGCAAAAGCAGAAAATCCTGTTTTTTCTGCTTACACAAGACTTGATCGAACAATGAGGTAAGACTGTGAGCTGCTGAGAGTTGTGTTCTAAAAATTGTCTCTCTGCCAGTCGCTGTGGCACTGACTCAGTAAGGTGGCTAAATAGCATTAGTTTAATCCCCAGGATCTGGCTTTGCTGGTCTCCTGACTGGAGCTACTCAGCCCTACGTTGTTGTAGAGAAGTAGAAACAGAGCAGACCTCCACTGGAATGGCATGTACGTACACAAACCAATATGGTGCAGTTAGACAAGTTTGAGGCTATCCTGGGGGACAACGTGACGGCATGATGTGGACACACGCACCATGGATTTGGGGGATTTTGTTGCTTGGAACAGGTAACATCAGAAGACATTCCTGTATAAATAGATATTTAGCATATTACGTAATAAGTATTTAATTCCTGTGTTTTGTTATCTTTTCTTTTACCAATATAAAACTAATACACCTGTTGTTACTGTATTTTTCTACAGTATGCTGTACTCCTTATGTGCATTTGTTTAAGCTTTTAAATCTCACCATTTGTCTACTGTACACATTTTAAATGCTGATAGCAACCAACACATGACAATATTTCTGGAGACAAACAGAAACAAGCAGACAGACAACGTGGTAAAGATAAGACATGGATAAGTAATAGTTGGGTATGGCGGTAACTTGACTTGGCAAGTGTATCCAAGGCACCAAAGAAATTTGATAAAACAGGAACCATGATATACATATCATGCGTTGGCAAAATATGGAAGAAAAGGGGAGAAAACCTGGGCACATGTCCTTTGTTTTGTTTATGTAACTTGCCCCCATAATAAGTGTATGAATGTGACTTGTTTGTAGTAAACACTACTACTACTAAATCTATTGTTTACAAGACCACTGAACAAGGAATAATGACAACAATTCCCTCCTCAGTGAGCATGATTAAAAACAGGCCACGGTACATACGTTGTTTAAAGGCAGCAGTAACAGAGTTTAGGAGGGTCTGTATCTTCTCTTGCTGCAAAAACACAGGCTTGGTGTGACTTTATATTTTTCTGCTGACAGGTTCCCTCTGCCAGGAGGTGATAAACCAGTGTGATCCCATTCCCTGCCAGAATGGGGGCAGGTGTGAGAGCCATGTTGAGGGCTACGTTTGCCACTGCCTCCAACAGAGTCCTGATGGTGTCCTCTATGGAGGTGTAAACTGTGAGGCGAGGCTAGTGGGCTGTAAGGGACATGAATGCCAGAACCAAGGCTCCTGCTCTCCTTTCTTGTTGGATGGGACTCAGGGATACACCTGTTCCTGCTCACCTGGTCACACTGGACCCCTCTGTCAGACCCCCACCACCTTCTCCTTTGAACGCAGAGGCTACCTGCTGCTGCAGAGTCCCCTGGTGGACACCGTAGAGTCCTGCAACATCACCCTAAGCTTCAAGACTACTCTGCCCAAAGCGTTGTTGTTCCAGCGCAACAGCAGGGGGCTGCTGTTGCGCCTGGAGCTGGACGAAGGGCAGCTTCGTCTCTCACTGAGGAAGGACGCCTCTGTTGGGGCTGAGGCAGAAAGCCCAAACCAGTTCCTGGAGATTCCACACAATGTCACAGATGGACAATGGCATTCTGTGAAGGCTGTGCTTGGAAGTGGGATGCTCAGTCTGACACTCTTGGATGATGCTGGGAGCTGTAGGAGCCAGTGGTGCCACAAGGTGGCCCAAGTCCACAGCACCCTGGCCATCCTGGCGTCATCTCCTCAGGACACTTTCATTGGAGGAGTGCTTCAGGAGTCAAACGGCCACAGTGAGGACTCTCCACTTCCAGCATTTATTGGCTGCATGCGGGATGTGTTTGTGGACTGGCAGCTCGTGGTCCCAGAGGATTGGCTGAGCGACTCTGCTGTTAATGTGTCCCTTGGCTGCAGCCACAGGGACCGCTGCCTGGACGTGCCTTGCCAAAACAGAGGAGAGTGTGTCAACCTGTGGCAGAGCTACCAGTGCCGATGCCTGAGGCCTTATGAGGGGCAGGACTGTGAGGAGGGTATGTTCACAGCTATGAAATAATTGACTTCAACAGGTCAAATAGCAGCAACGCAGAGTAAAATAATGGGAGAATATTTAGTTTTTTTGCTAGTAGTCCCCTTAAACAAAAGAAATGTAAGCAAAAGTTTGGTACCGATAATCATCAAATGCAGAAACAGGACTTTTTGAGATAGAGATAATAGAGTTTTCATGAAAGGGTACGAGGTCATTTTCACCAAATTTCTTAAGTGGGTAATTAGATAACATCCTCAGTTGCTGTAACAGAATAAGGGGGTAGAGATGAGGCCAATCAAAAGCCACAGTGAAGGACGGAGGCATGAGATCCTCTTATCTGACGCACTGGATTAAGGATACAGGTGATTCTATTTTGGAAACACACAGAACATGCAAGGAAAGAGTAGATAGTAGAATACTGTAATCAGAAAACATCAGAATCTAAATAAGAAATAGAAAGTTGTAGTTTGAATTTGTCACTTCAGTTACTTTGAACATGCATGCTGGCCAAGCTGAAAGGATTTGTTTTCTTCATGTCAACACCGAGCCAAGTCACTTCTCTCTCATCGTTAACCTGAAACATTTCTCGTTTCATCTTATTCTTATATTTTCCCCTTTTTGCAGAACACGTGACCGCACGCTTCGGGAATGAGGACTCTCACAGTTATGCAGCGTTCACTGTCACCGATGATCTGGATGACGACTTCTCCATCTCCCTCTTCCTGCGTACACGGAGGCACCACGGACTCCTCCTGGCGCTCGCCAACAGCAGCAGCAGCCAGTACCTGCACATGTGGCTGGAGAACGGCAAGGTCACAGTTCAGCTGAATAACCTTGAGAGTCTGAAGGCACAGAGTGCAATTGATGACGGGGAAGTCCACTTTGTGAGTGTACAGGTGGTGGAGCATCGTATGTCTCTGTATGTAGACGCTCAAAAACAGGGTGTCGTGGAAGTCAGGACAGTCAATGTCCAAGCAGGACATACTGTGTATGTGGGAGGCCTGTTGGACAGTTGGACCACTTCAGTGTTTGGTGGATATTTTAAAGGCTGTATCCAGGACCTGAGGATCAACGACAGGCGGCTGCAGTTCTTTGGGTTGGACACCTCAGTGAGATCTTATCTTCGGGAGCTCATGGAAAATGTGACTGCTGGATGTACAGGGGACAATGCCTGTGGTGTGAGTTTCTTTGAACTTTGTCAACCTTGTTCTCACTCTTTAGTGTGAGCTGGTTCAGGGCGTGCAGAAATGGATTTAAAAACTTAAAATCCTGCTTAAATTGAGACCTCACTCACGACCAGGAAATCATTCCGATACAATTCATACATAGTTACATGTCATATAAAGTGCAAGGACATCAGATGTTATTTGGTAAAAGTAAGCGCCTGTGTCAATGTTTCCTCCTCAGACGAACCCTTGTCTCAACGGTGGGATGTGTTACTCCATGTGGGATGACTTCACCTGCACCTGCCCTCCCAAGACAGCAGGGCCGCGCTGTGAAGAGGTCAGGTGGTGCGAGCTGTCACCCTGCCCCACAGACTCAGAGTGCAGGATGCTGAACCGGGGATATGAATGTAAGTGGTGTCTACAATTTCAGCAGTTTTAAGCAGGAGTGTTTTAAACGTCCACGTTGTTTGAGAAAAAATGAAGATCTTGTAAGTTATTTTAATGATTTATTATCTCAAAATAATGAGAAACTTTCTCATCATTTTGAGACACTAAGTCATTATTTTGATATAGTTCCTTATTATAACGACTTAATGGACTTCCATAGTAGTAAAGTGTGTTGCCTTGTTCTACTTTACATCATTTCTTAGTTACATAAAAGCTCTTAAACCCAGACACAAAGTTGTTTACCTTTTAGACTTACATTAAATTTAGGCTATGTTACCTAATATTTGACCTTGTTTGTGGAATCGGTCATTGTTGACTTAATTGGCCACTATGTAACCGAATGACACAACATGCTTGATTATATAGGCCTATTGGCCTCAATCTGCCCACACAGTATATTCTATGTGCTCCGTAAAGCATGATTGGCCTTAGGCCAGCTTATCCTTATTTTTCTTGGGATTAGTGATGATTTGCATGGGTTGCCTCTCGTGAACCACACATGTACAGTGATTAACTCGAGGATACCTGCTTGTTACGGATATTTCGGACAGATGACCCCATCTTGTTGCCTAAATGGATTGCAGTGTTATAAAACAGCTCAATGGCATGCTGTAAGAACACCTAATGTTTCTTTACATCACAAATCTGTGCTCTTGCCTAATGCCTTTGTTGTATCGTCATGCATAAAGCCTAATCTAAACAAGACACCAAGCGACAAAAGAGTTTAAATGGTGCGTGCAAATGTGTAAATAAATATACACAACATATATTCTCTCTAATCTCCTAGGCTACTCCAATGCAACCTTCCTGAATGACAGCACTTTGTTGTCCTACCGGGGAAACGGTCACATATCCCGCAACCTAACTAACCTCTCCCTAAACCTACGCACGCGAAAGCGCAACACAGCTATTCTCCACGCAGAGAAGGGCTCAACGTTCATTACACTCTCCGTCCAGGGCGGTTTCCTCTTCATGGAGCTGCAGAGTCCCACCGAAGAGGAGGAGGAGGGAGAGCAGGGTGTGTCTACGGTCAGCCTCAGCAGCAGGACGAGTGTTAGTGACGGTGAGTGGCACAGCATCCACCTGTTCATGGCAGCGCCATGGGCACAAACCTCCCGCTGGACTCTGGTGCTGGATGAAGGAATAGAGTACGCCAGCACTTCCAGGAGCCAAGGAGGCAACCTGAACTTCCTCAGGCAGGGGGTGGACATCTTCTTAGGGGGCCTGGCCCCTGACGCTGGGTGGTCCCTCGTCGGGTGCCTGGGCACAGTAGAGCTAGGTGGCATTGCCCTGCCTTACTTTGGCTCCTCCGATGTGAACCTCCCACGCCTGCAGGAGGAGCAGTTCATCCCGACATCACAGCAACCACCGCTCCTCGGCTGCAGCGGGGGCCCCGTGTGCGAGCCCAACCCCTGCCTGAACGGAGGGGAGTGCCAGGACCTCTTCAACACCTACAACTGCAGCTGTGCCGAAGGCTGGGCCGGGAGACGCTGCGGCTTCTTCAGCGACACCTGCGCTTCCAATCCCTGCGCTCACGGCAACTGCAGCGTGAACGGGCTGACCTACGAGTGCACCTGTGAGTCCGGCTACGCAGGTGACAACTGTGATGAGGAGGTGGATATATGTGAGAATCACCTGTGTGCCCATGGAGGCACCTGTCTGCATGGGCCAGACAGGTACGCCTGCCTCTGCCATGAGAACTACACTGGACCCCTTTGCAGGTGAGTTCAGAATAGAACTAGTATAATAGAATAAAACAGCGTAGTCACAGGCTTGTGTGAAACATTGACAGATAAATATTGTATGCTCTGAAGAAAACTTTTCTCTTCTATTAACAGTTTTGGGAGCTTAGTTACTAAACACAAAATACACAAATAAATGCTCCAATTTGCACAAACAAGGGACCGCACTACAACACAAATAAAGTCCTTCAATGTAAATGTCTCCACATCGCTGCCTCTGTTCAGCATTTCAACCACGCCTGCTGCGAGCGTCTCAGATGTTGCATTGCTATTCTAGTGTCAGGCAGAAAAGGCCTCAGTCTGCTGTGGTGTCTCACTACACACACCCCCTGTCATCTACCGTTTGCCTCGGAGAACCAGCAGGGGAACGCCTCCGAGCATTTATCCTGTAAACACACAGCCTCTTGCATTTGGCCTCTTTTGCACAAGGAAAACCTTTTGCAAGTGTCTCGCTAAGACAAGCTGCACATCACCTTTTACTGGGAACATCTACGCTGTAAAGTTTTCATCAAAATGACTTCTTTTTTTGTTTGTGTCTCTTGTTTGTGTCTCTTTCTACCCCCTTTCCCTGTCTTTTTTTCTGTTTCTCTCCAGTGAACGCATTGAAGAAATTCCGTGGTACATTGTTGTCAAAAAAAAGTAAGCTTTTTTTTTTTTTCTTCTTTCTTTCCTATTTCTCAGGTGTTAGCTATTTGTTTCCTGTTAGATATTCATCTCTCAAATGTCATGTACGATGTCGCCTGTTTTTTTGTTCGGCTGTGTGCAACAAAATGCCAAGCAAAGCTAATATTAACACTGCCTGTGACATCGTTTTGTCTTTAAATGAGATACCGACTGTTTCAAATGAGTGACAGCTGTAGTTCAAAATGATTCCTCCAAAAATAAAACTTCACCTCCAAAAATTGTACGCTTTCCAAAGTAACAAATACAGTATTTTGTAACCATTGATGGATGAATTGACAACAGATAAATAACATTTTGGAACAGAACAGCTGTGCTTCGGGCACAACACAAGGTTAAAGAGGCCAAAGATAAACGATTGGCTTTTTCATTCCCGTACATTTGATTTGACCTCCTGCTGGTGAATAGTGGCCGGAGGACTTTCATGTTATTAACCCGGTCCTCTCCTAAGCTTGTTTGTCTCCCCTGTGGGGAGCAGCAGGAAGCTGAACAATACAGCTCCTGCTTGGCTGATCCTTCTCCTTCCGGCAGACGTAAAAAACGTCAAACTCTGCTGAACATGACCTGCTGAACGCCTCAATACCTGTGGTACTAACGAACAACACATGTATTAACCCTCTTACATGTCTGCCTGTCTCCTGTAACCAGACGGCCTAAGCTGCCTGTTTCTGTGTGCGGCGATGACATCAGAAACTACACCTGCTTCAATGGAGGCAACTGCACTGACAGAGAGCTGTACTGTGACTGTCAACCTGGCTTCATTGGACACCGGTAGGAAAGAAAACAATATTAATATTACTAAATGAAAGGCCTACCTGTACATAAGTAAAATACCTCCAGAGCAGCCTGAGATACTGAGATAGGGGGGTAGTTCTCCCAGCAGAGCTCGGATTCTTTGAGAGCTCCCTCAAAGAGCAGAGCCCTTTCTTCTTCAGAACTTACTGTATGACTATTTGCTGTAAGCGTTAACTTCCTTCACATGAGTGTCCCTGACTGCATTGTGACTCTGTGTTGTTAGGTGTGAGCAGGAGGTGGACGAGTGCAGGTCCAACCCCTGTCTGAATGGAGGCTACTGCCGCAACCTCATCAACCAGTTTGTGTGCGTGTGCGACATGAGCTTCGCTGGAATCACGTGTCAGACGGACGTAAGCGACATTTACTTTTACGTGGCGGTGCTGCTGTGGCAGAACCTCTTCCAGCTGCTCTCTTACCTCATCCTCAGGCTGGACGACGAGCCGGAGGTGGACTGGGGAGGCAATGACTGAATGTGTGTGTGTGTGCAGGCGCGTGTATCTCTGCACTTCTCTTTGGGACTGAGAAAAGTGGGTGCAGAATAGGGTTTGCAAGTTCGTCAGTGAATGTGTACGGGTGATTGATTGATCATAAAAGATGAGAATGACCAGTGGTTTCCAATACAAAGCACGAGGGATCAGCAGGTATTTTATGAGAGCACGCTGCAAACATTCGAGTTTTCTCTAGTTCGACGAGCTTATTGGTACCACAGAGCTGTTTCTGTGCCTTAAAATGATACTTTAGTCATCAGAAGCACCTTCTTCAGTATAGTAATTTACTATATTACTCAATTTATTTGACTTATTTAAGTAGCTATAGAACACAGATGCAATAATTTCTCGCGAAACCAACACCCACAAATTACACATTAGGGTTGTAACTAATCATGTTCATTATCAATTCATTTGTTTATTATTGTCTTGATTATTTGACTTATCGCTTAAAAACTAAAGTACTACACTCAAACAGCTTGTTTTGACCGGCCAAAAGTCCAAAACTTAAATAAAGACTTCAATTTGAAACGATATGAAATCAGAGAATTGCATCTTAACTCACTTCAAAGTTTAATCTTATTAATTAATTAATTAATTATTAAACTTGTTGGCAGTTAATTGACTAATAAATAATCAAATAAACAGTGCAATATCGTTACTGTGGTCTAAAGGGTAGGATAGTCGACATTCAAAAAATCACTTTCTGAAGCAGCGAAGAACATTATAGAATATGTTTTATTTATAATGTTTCTCATTGAAGATATCCTGTCACTCTTGTCTGAACTGGATTTTGGGTGCTCCACACGGATGGATGTGTGAACTATCAAAAGCAGTGTTGTAGTTACAAAAGCACCTCGCGGGGCTAGAAGACGACAAGATGTCTAACTTTGTTCTTGATGTGCATTCAGAGCGCCGTGGTGACTGACTGACTGCTGTGTGTTGTTTTGTACCCAAAGAAGAAGTTTCCGTCTCTAAACCTTCCTGACTGAGGCAAAGATATTTAAAGCCTAAAATTCTCTGCGGCTCTGCTTAAACGGTACTTATCAACATTCACCATGCTGTTGTGGTCAACATTTCATAACACTATAAATCAATCTCTGTTCCCCAAGGACTTGATTGTGTCTTTTAGTCTCATTGTGCTGACATCATGCTGGATGATCCATGTTTGACGGTAACTTGTTGTTTGTCTGTCTTTCCTTCATCATGTTCTGTCCTCATGTCTTGTCTCGGTTTAAATCCAGTCTCTGTCTTTGTTGTTGTCAAATTAAAAAAACAATCGTATCAGCCTTTGTCTGTCTTCTGTCCTCTTTTCATCTTGTTCAACTATTTTTCCTCTTTCATCGCCACATGTTTTGCTTTAATTTCCAATTTCTTCCCTCCATTTTCTCCTCTATCCAACTAACCCCAGTTGAAGGTTAACTGCTGTACAAATCCTTTCATTGATTTCCTAACTGTGTGTCGGTGTGTGTTTGTGAGTAACGGAGCGGAGGCCGAAGTCAGGTGGCTACCCTGATGCCAAACATAGACACTTGATCTCTCGTAACGAGATGTAGTGTGAGTAGATCCCAGAATAGATCCCAGGATCAAAGACGCACAGTGCTGCATTGTGCTGCTGGTGTGAGGTTATTTGTCAGTGTTTGGGGTGCGCAGGCAGTATAGGGAAGGCTTTCCTACCGTTGAACATGACAGTTCCCCTGAGCAAAAACCAAGAATACATTCAGAGCATTAACATGGCAGCAAACAGCTATTAGCTTTGTAAAGATATAATAAAACTAATGTCAACCTGAGCAAAGAATGAAGTTGCTCTTCCTCTATGTGTGTTGCTTTTTTATGATCCTTGCTTTGCTAACATAGCCGTGCGTGCTTTTAGTGCATGTTAGTGACCAGCTGGTTAGCTCACGGCCGCCGCTCTACACTGTTGTCATATGGCGGTTAGAGCTGATAGCGCCGTCCCGTCTGACAGCTTGGTCGTGGAAGCGTAGCACCCACCCTCCGGTTCCCCCTCAGGTAAACACTTTTCCTGCTCTGTCAGCACTCCCGCCACCGTTTGCTGTGAGCCGCCGGCTCGCCTTCGCCATGTTGAGAGCAGTTGAGAAGCAACCAAAATACTCCCAATCTGGTATCTTGCACCTTTAAAGGATAGGTTCACAATAAACAAAAAAATCCCCAAAAAACACAAGATGGAAGAGAGGATGCAGGTTTATGAGAGAGGAGTGCAACCGCATACCGACTACATGGTCAAAAGAAACATGGCTCCCATTCACCTACTGATGCTGAGGTCGGGCCGTCGTGCAGGTCAATCAACTTCTTCCACATCAAATTCTGGAAGCTATTTCTTTATTAAAGGATAGGTTTCCCATTTTTCAAACAATAGACAGGTGCCTATATGAACATTTAAACATGTTTTGCTTGCTGTAATCATTCTTCCTGTTCATACTGTCTACATTAGGAAGGATTAGGCCACAAGTGGAACGATTAAAGCAAAAAACAGTTTTGATGTTTGTATGGGCACCTGACAATTGTTTAAAAAGGGGAAACCTATATCCTTTTGTGAAGAAATAGTTTTCAGAATTTGATCTGGAAGAAGTTGACTGGCCTTCACAACGCCCTGACCTCAGCCTTCAGTGTGTGAATGGCAGCAAGCCATGTTCCTTTTGACCATGAGGTCAGTGTGCAGTTGCACTCCTCTCTCGTAAACTTGCGTCCTCTCTTCCGTCCCGTATTTTTGTACGATTATTTTAGTATTTTCCGTCTGTGTGTATGTATGCGTGTGAGGTAGCCCTTATGGTGAGGAAAGAGAGGGAGGAAATGGGAAGCAGTTTTTCAGTGTCGGCACTGATATGGCCATCCTTTGAGAGAAGCAGAGAGGGAGAAATGTGCTTCGCCAGCGAAAAACAGCAGCATCTGGCGCTGAAGTGCAGTTTCAGCAGAGAGCTGGTGGCATTCACAGAAGTTTGGTCTGCTTCACAGAAACGTATGAGAGCAGCTTATCTGGCAGGCACCTACACACACACCTACACACACACACACACACACACACACACACACACACACGGAGCAGGTTGATAGTGCTGACAGCAAGGAAGCACTGCTGCCGTCTCTCTGTGTGTGTAGCTGCTCTGCCGAGGCTTCAGGGTGGCCTTACCTTGTACCTTAGAGACTGGTTAGTTAGACATTTCCGTGTCTGTGTGTGTGGCAGTCGGTGACTGATGGCGGGTCCTGGCTTCAGGCTGCTCCGGCTCGCTTGTGTCACACTCACTCTGACAGCTCTGCTGCAGTGACAGGTAAGCACTTTCCAGGAGTCAACAAAGCCTGTAGCAAGGGAAAGAAAGTGTAATGTCTACAGCGTCGAGCGTGAGTGTATAAGTTATTTTTTGCCTCAGGATATGGATGGTTGTATTTTTATAAGAATTACGTTTCCATGTTGATTGCTCAGTGTAAAGTTTGCTGACTTCTGAGATTCCTATTTTCATAGTCTCGTGTGACCTAACGAGCTCAGTAAGAGGCTCTAGTTATGAAGATGTTGTCAGCCGCAATGTGAAGTGTAATGGAGTGATACTTACAGCTGTCGGTAACCTTGTAGCTGCCACTCGGAGTGTCACGACTATCACACCAACCAGAACGACTGACGTAAGTGCATCTGCCGCTGGTTAATGAACGTCACCAATCATTCACTGGCTGCACTGGAAGCTTGATTCGGAAGGGTTTGACTTGCGAGGTCAGAAATCTGTGTTTGCATGCAGGGTAGTATGAGCTATTTTTGGGTGTGTGAGTGAGTTTCTGGTGGTGTTCATGCTAATGGGATCATCAGGCAGCATCTTGCCTCTGTGTGTGTGTGTGTGTGTGTGTGTGATCCACAGACGGAGCGTGCTCCATACAGCTTGCGGGTGGCTGCCGTGCTGGCACCGTGTCTGGTTTGCCTGGCGATAGTGGTGATGCTGGGGCTGGCGCTGGCCGTTGCCAAAATGCGAGAGAGGCGGCAGACGGAGGGAGGTTTCAGTCCGCGGCAACTCGAGGCTCCTGGTGGTCTCAACCCACCTGCTGAGCTGGGAAACACATCCATCAGCACTTTGGCAGCTCGCGTGGAGCGCCTGGTGTAGTGTAAAGCAGTGAGGAGAGGAGAAGTGTGTGTGAGGGTGTGTGTGTGTGTGTAAGAGTGAGAGAGAGACAGAAATAAACAATGTATCATGTGAATGAGGTTCTTTAAAACAAAACATTTGCCTCTTTCCCTCCAGTTGACCGCTGAGGGTTTGACCTCTGACCTCTTACTGTCCATCAGTCTGGCGTCTGTCGTCCTGCTGCTGGTTCTCATCCTCACCTCCGTCAGCCTGGTGGTGGCGCTAAATCGCCGTGCCACCCACGGAACCTACAGTCCCAGCCGGCAGGAGAAGGAGGGATCCCGGGTGGAGATGTGGAGCATCACCCAGCCGCCGCCTATGGAGAGACTCATATGAGCTGCAGGCGGGGGCTGTGTTTACATGCAGGGTGGTAATGAAGGAGCTGATGCTAGAAATACAGCCTGCATGTAAACATGGTCTTCCCCCTCACAGTACCTCCATTTTAAATTACTGCCATCTTTCTTCACAGGCTGGAAGACTGTCTGAGATTTCGTGACACTATTTCTGTGTAATCGTATATATATCCCAGTGCTGCATCCATCTTCCTGTGATGTTCTGCACCTGGCTTCACCACCCAGGAGTACATCCATCAAAATGCAGAAAGATTTTTAGCTCAGAACGTATCGGGTCTGCCACAGGTTGTGTCTGATCCATATTTTTTAGGATTGATGGACCGGTGAGCACTGAAAAGGAAAATCGTGGCAGAATTTGAGACACACAAGAACATTGTGTTAAAGCGTCATCTAGAAACGGGCAGAATGAGTCAGAACGTGCTTCGTTTAAAGGAGAAGGCTGGTGGTATCCTATGTTTTTCTTATTGTCACGGAGTGATCGAAAGCAATGATTGGTTAGTCTGTCGTTCAAAAAACAACAAAGGTATTTTAAAACTGAAGAGTGAAAAAGGCTCAGTAATTCTCTTCGATATTTGGAAACTGTAGTTTTTAAGCAAACATTACTCAAACAGAAGTTTGAACTGTTCATTTATAGGAGACTATTTTCAGCAGAGGATTAATACACATTTGGTGCTCAAGTGAGTATTTACTTCAACAGGACAGTGTTTGTGTGATTGGCTCAAGATGAACTACAGTGCCCTGAATCATAGTGAAGGAACACGTGGAACCATAATGGAGCTCTATGGCTCGGAGGTAAAAGGCTAAACTTGTTAGTAAAATCAACTCGGTGTTTGTATTGGTCTTTTCATGGGATTTGTTTACAGTAAGAAAAATATAGAATATCACGAGACCTATACTTAAAATTCATGAACGTAACCGTGTGTATTTACTGCTGGAGAACACCTTTCTAGCTCTAGCTCTTGTTGCCAGTTTTGATTTATTTTCAGTGAACATTTCCACTTGACTTTCCAAACTGTACCGACAGAATAATATACTTCAAGTCAGGTTTCAGGATAAGTTGCACTAGTCGAGAATTGTTTCTTCTAGGCCGACTTGTATGTTGTTAGGAACAAGAACCGTCTTGACTGCAGTGTAATTATAAGTGTATATACCATAATTATAATTTTGTTTATAACTGAGAATTTCATTTCTACCTTTAATTGATGGAAACTGTACATAGAAGTTGTGCTAGTTAAAGTTAATTTATCGTATGTGGACAAGTGATCATAGGTCTATTTAGAAACCGTGCGGTGTTAGAGAGGATTAGCATGTTTGCTTTCGTGTTTGCCAAATCAATAAGCCAATGCAATGATATTAATTATCTCGCACACAATAACAATAACACTGCACTATTAAATAAACCAGCACTCTGTGTGAATACGCAATACAGCAGCCTGACTATAAAATGTGTTGTTTCTTTCCACATACTCTGCTTCTATCTGTTAATAGACAGACTCATTTTGGTATAAAAACAACGAGATGTATAAGCATTAAACACTATCATTTATTTTCAGTTCACAGTGCATACATTGTGTGCAGTTGTACCAAGTTACTCATCAACAGCACATTAGATTGATCTCAGTTGTTTAAGACAGTTGTTTTCTCTGCAATGAGAACATGCAAGTGAGCACAGAATCAAAGAAATCAGTAAATGCAATACCGAAGAGTTAATCATCATGACGACACCCAAAAAGACTGAAATAAAGTCGCATACTGTAATTCGTCCAAAGTGGTCACTATACTGGAGATGTGTTGTTTTTTTGTCTTAAATGTGGAGCGAGGGGCAAGTAATGATATCTTTGTAAAGTCCATAGTACCTCTGTAAACACTGCTACATAATCACCGCCAACTCACTCCAAATTTGTAATTTCAGGACATTTATACTTTATATTCATAAATTACTTCACACTGTATTTGTTTGCAGTTATCTTCAGTTATCACAAGTCATTTCTTTGTTACTAAGTTACTCAGTATTTCTTCCCACAAAGCTCTTCAGTTAGATTGACAGTAGCCAAAGTAGAAACACATGAAATGCAAGGCAGATGACACGAACTCCACAATACCCAATGCAAGGCAGGATGAGTGTGTGGTGCCAGACCCAAACTTATTTCCATCATTCTCGATTTGACGGAAGCGCTAAATACTGAAATAATAATTAATACCAACAGAATAAAAAAATCATAGCATTCAACACATAACATGCAGATACAACAATACACATTGTACCGCGTACAAGCAAGTGTCATTCTCTGCTTATTTTGATTAGAAGGTTTCAAATGCTTCTGAACATGAACGGCTACGTCAGACATTTGTTAATGTTCTCTCTATTTCTTCTTCCAAAAATAAAATCTAAAACATTCAAATATTAGGTGTCTTTTATTTCATTTTTTAAACATAGAGCACCAATCATATATTATCCATGGAAAATAAACTCAAGCCAGCAAAAATACACATCTATTCAGTTGAAAATAATTGTTTTCATCAATATGAACTCGACTAGAGAGACTCCTCCGAGAAACGTCTTTCAAAACAAAAACAAGCTCAGAATGAGTGTTTAAAGAAAAGAGAGAAAAGAGAGAAAAGAAATAGAAGCACATGAACAATACAATGAATCACCTCATAGTACAATCAAAGAAAGAACCTAACTGACAAAAAGTCAAATAACCCAGAGAAATTCAAAGAGGTTCTATTAAATACAGGCAGGAAGATTCCCACCGACCAAAGCAAAGCACTGAGTAACTCCAGCTGGACTGCAGCCGAAACACAAAAACAGAACCGCTATAAAAACAATGCTAGGACCCAAGTTCTCTTCAGGTCAGTGTTTAAGGACCAAACCCGGTCTGTTTATATTCATAAATAGCATAACGATCAATGTTCTCACTGTGATTTACGGTGGTGTGAAAGCTTTGCATACACCTCCCTTCTATAATACTGCACCTTCTTCTGATTCTACTGGGTGATACTCTTCCTGTTTAAGGCACACTACACACACCGTTCTGTCAGGGACACACCTCCGCTCACACACAGTTTAATAGACGCTCATGTTTGTTCATTCAGGGACACATGAAGCTCACTCTAACTAGAAACTAGATCGATTGTGATTATTCTTCAAGTAGAATCGTGCATAATCATGTAATTACTGTTAAATAAAAGTGACCTTTCTTTTGAAAATGTTTTAAATATTTGCATAGTAAATAAGTTTTAAAGTCTCTACAATGAATAAGGCCAGAGCAGAGACTCTTCTGGAGTCGTTTTTTTCTTCTTTTTGGAGTTACTAGGACTGGTTCTGGTTCCTGGGCTTTTAGAAGCACGCCAAAGACTTTATGAGCAAATCGTTAACGCAGAGCAGCACTCAAAAAAAAGTGGAGAAATAGCTGCTATTAAACTGCCACAGCGACTGGCGTCTGGCATAAATCATAAGAACAACGAACCATAAATGTAATAATCCCAACACTAGCACAGGAAAAGCTTTCTTCTTTTCTCCGGGTTTGTGGCAACGCAGAGAACGATGGGAACCCCCGACCTCTGGACGCTGCCTTTCTCTCCACAGGAGAGTCCGTCACAGAAATACTTCAGTCTCTGTGCGCTTTACATCCACGTCGCTACTCTCCGAGGAGAAACGTATTGCTTCATTACAGTACAATCATCAACCACTGCATTGCATTACAGTGTGTGACTCTAACCTAGAAGGACAGAGATTTGCATTTCCTCCCGTGAGCAAAGCAAAAGGAGACAGACAGCCAAGGAGAGCTGCGTGATAAGTCTGGTGATATTGTATATTATTCTGACGTATTCATCCTATACAATAAGAAAACATAGAATATCACCAGCCTCATCTTTTAAAGTCTAAAATCTGAACCACATGAGCTCTGCAACAACTGGCAACTGTTCTAAAGATTGAGAGTGAAAGTCAGATGTGCTGAAAGTGCTATTACACAAGTAGAGACAACATGAGGAGGAAGAGTGGTGGTGATGATGATGATGATGATGGTGGAGAAAGAGAAAGAAAAGGACATGGGGCCTTGACACGGGCATTTTCAGATCGAACGCTGTTTTGACTTTGTTTGCTTCTCTTCAGAGACGGAAGCGTTCTGAAGAATACACAGAGAGCCAGAGAGAGGAGTCTACATGCACATCTCATTATCTGGAATGCTAATTTAAAAACAGCAGCTTAAAGCACATCATATAAATATTAACTATTCTATTAATCCAGAGAAGAGCTGTGCTGTTTACGTACTACTAAGTGTTGTATTTATGATCTGAGAGCATCAGAGACTCTGATTACAAAGTACCTGTACGGCATCACTATCTATAGAGTAAGACACCAGAGTATCCAGAACAAATCACCTGTCCATTTAAGGCACGGTGATAAAAACACAAACACCAGTATCACACAGTGGATGATTAGTTTCCAGAGTGGACTTTGCGCCTGGAACATCCCGTCTCACCTTGTTGTTTTTTTTTGCTCAAAGGATTCTAGTACCAGGTGGTCAAGAATGTGTTCATCTACAAGTGCAAATGTAACCTGATCACGTGTAATGTTTGGAACGCTGAGTAGAAGACATCATGATGTGTTGGAGACATCATCCCTTCTTCATCCTCACAAGTACCGTTTCTTAAATCTTGAAAGTCAAGATGGTTGGCTTCTTATACTTTATCCAAAATGTAATTTATGGGTCTCGTGGCTTTTTGTCTGGTAGAACATTGAGAAGCTGTTACAAGATGAAAATATACAACACATGAAAATACATGTTGTCCATGAATTTAGATGATTACAGACAGAAACACTTTGTTTTATCAGTAAAAAGACTGCACAAATCTCCTTCTTATCAAGTCTCTGTTGATGAAGTTGTACATTCTTAAAACAAGTGAAAAATCTTGCTGTGTTTCAAAAACACAAAACAATCTCAACATTCTGGACTCAGTTTGTGTTCTTGAAGCGCTGCTCTTCCGATTCACAAGAGAATACAGTTGTTTAAAGAAAGTACAACTATATAAAACACCACGTTGTTGTCACTTCATCAGTGTTCAGTTCACTCAGGAGAAGTACCGAACTGACATTCGATGTTTGAACTTGTTTTTTAACTCACATCATGTGGTTTCTTTTTATGAAGTAGAGTTCACATTTATTGGAAACGGGTTAAAGTATTCTCACAACACTTGCAGGTTTTTTCACTTGTTTTAAGAAAATAATGTTTTTGGGGAATTTAAAGATGGAGAGTTGTGCAGGGGACCAATTTCTCTCTTCCTGTTCCCTGCTCTTCAGGCTGTGACTCTGTTTGTTTCTGCCTGTTTGACATCAAATCTGTTCATAATGTTTCCTGATAGCAGAGCGCTGGGATCACAAAGACCCTGTTCTCTGAACGTGTAGCTAGTTGTAATAGAGGAATTACAGTGAATAGATTTCAGTGGAACCTATGGCATTTTACAGACACCGAGTCTGTGACGTCCCTATGACTCGTCTGTGGCTTTGCTCTGGACCGGCTGGTGACTGTTGTTGCAGTGAACCTGGGAGAGCTGCAGGCTGGTGTGGAGCCCTGAGCCGAGGCAACACATGGAGTCAATCTCCTCGAGGAGGCCTCGATCCTGCACCACAGCCGCCCCCGAACCTTTACCCTGACCCAGGCACAGGCCGATCCCCGGGAGCCCCTCCTTGGACACCTCGGGGCCGGGCCTCGACGGGCTCCCCCGACCCTCCTGCTGGGCCTTGCTGCTTTGCCTCTGGAGGGCCTTTTCCTGGTAGTGCCTCACGGTTTCCTTGGACAGCACCTTCCTCCTCAGGATGCCGGTGTAGGCAGTCTGGTTCTGGGCTTCAGGAAGCTCCATGTTGCCTTGTGGGTCCGAGATGGTCCGAGGCCGGCCCGTCGGTTCAAGAGAATAGTTTGGGTGAGAAACGGGTGCTGGAGAACTGTAGGTGTAACAGAGAGTGGGAGACGGCGACGTAGGTGTAACTCTATGGGACGCTGAGGGCGAGTAGGAGAAGCGGTCTTTTGGTCGTCGCCCTACAGGTAGAGGGTCATAGTTGAGCTGATGAGGGTATGACCTGGAGATGTCAGCCTCCTGGGCCGGGGGTGTATTCGTGATGATGGGCACTGCGGAAGCTGTCGCAGGTCTCTTTGTCACCTTCAGGCTGCTCTTGTTGGGCTGTCTGCGTGGGGACGGGGGGAGGTGTTTTCCGTGTACCGCAGTGTCATCCTGGCCCATATTCCAGCCGCCATGATCCCTGCCACCATCACAGCCACTCTCATCGGCAGGTTTAGATGCGCTGGGAGGTGCGGGCTTGCTCTGGAACAGCAGAAAGAAGGAAATACCATTAACTTAATACCTTTATGAAGAAACACAGATCTGCCCTCCTGAAAACAATGCTCCCAGCTTTCCTCACAATGTTGTCAATATCAATGCATGTTCCAAGCCCTTAAGTTTCTGACAGATGAACCAAAAACTTGACAGGTTTACTGTACTGAGTTCTGTTCTGAGTCCCATTCTGACACCTTAAGAATTGTAAAAGAACTTGTAAATGCTGACTGGCCCTCTCATAGCCATGTCTTCCTCCGTCTCTCTCTTGCGTACCGGGGCCTTGTAGTTTAAATCATCCATGGACCTGAAGAAGTCCAGGCTCTTGGCAGCGCTAAGTTTGCCTTGCTCCACAGTCGTGGTGCTCAGAGAGTCCAGGATTTCCTCCAGCAGGTTCATCTGGCCCGAGCGGGAGGAGTCGATGTCGAGCTCTACTGAGTAGGAGTCGTCGCTGTCCTCGATGTAGGAAGGGACATCCCCGCTGTCCTCTGAGGAGATCCTGAGACAGAGACAGAGTTAAACAGTGACTCGTGTATTGTTTCATAAGATAACTGTTCTTTAGCGAGCATCAAATGCTAATCAACAGTGGGGATTTTCCAAAGTAATATTTCATGTGTATAACATTTTATTGTGAATATCGCTGCAATAACCACTTCCTTTGAGTGACGTTTCTGTCACCACATATGTCCACCTGGGGGCAGTATTATCATGGGTAACAAACAAAAAAGATTGAATGTGCTCAGAAAAAGAGAACCTGCTTTTTCTTTATGAAATGAATCAGTCAACCAGCTAAAGTTCCAATATCTGGACAAACATACTTGAAACAAAATGGGAATGGCCAAAAATGTTGCGATCATAAAAATCAGAGTACTTACTTGCTCGCACTGTCCAGCTCGTCATCATCGAGCCCGTAGCCAAGGTCTCGAGGGCCCATGCTCATGGGATACTTGTTGAAGTTTTGCTGTTAATGAGAACAACACAGCAAGTGGATGTAGTTAGAAAAGCAAAGCATTACATGATAACACGACGGAAGTGGACCCGAGGGGGGGTGGGGGGTTCGCTTTAAAATACAAGTGATAAACATGGAGTCAGACAGAATGGGGTGTTCTGCTGAGGTACAGCATTTCACTAAACAACGACTTGGAACCTGATAGAGACAAGATGCAGGTCTGCGTCTGGTGGGTCCCCATAAGACACAAGCAGCAGCTTGTTTTAATGAGCCTGGACCCTTAGGGTTGAGACTAAATTTGTCAAATTCGGGTCTAGGGACAGAAATCTTTAACATCCCCTGCAGTATTTTATCAAACTCAGCATTATATGGGAAGTTAAAGCCACGTTCACACTGGGAGCGAAGATGTGGGGTATAGCTACATTAATCATTTGCATTGCGACACCGGCACATGCGATTGTATTTGTCATTTGAGTGTTGAATGATCAGTGTGTAGTGTAGTTGTCTCACACAGTGGGTTTAATAAGCCACCTGTGTACCGTATTTAATGGGTGGGTTAAAGAAGAGACAGAAGCTTTACAGAGCCGGGCAGGACTCTCCCCATGGGAGCCCAAATCTGCCCCAGGCCACCTATTAACATGCCTTCCACCACGACGCATATGTTCCTCTCTCACTGCACGCGCATGTTCGCTTATGTTAACAACATCTCTCACTTTCTAACTTGCACTCTTTCCACTCTTGCCCATTTACCTTCTCACATATTACTGCACACCTCCTGTGTCTATTGTTGTGGTAACATCTCAAACTGTCGTTCAGTCTCTTGTGTGTTTTTGTACACAAACAAGCACTCATGTGGTACAGTTAGCAGCCCCCCCTCCCATGTTTTTTTACACTAGCTTGGCTCCACCTCTCTAACTTCTCTGCATTTTTCTCGTTAGCCAATTATCAAAGCCCTACACTGAGAAAAAGGCTCTTCACAACCCTAACAGCGAGCGGAGAACGTGTGTGTGTGTTTAGGGAGTGAACGCTGTACAGTTTGTGTGCTTGTGTTGTGGTTGTGATTTGTGAGACACAGACATGCAACAAAAAAAAAAAAAAAAAAAAAAAAACTGACACAAGAGCACAATAACAATAAGGAGGAAGGGAATTAATGAAAAAAGGAAGGAAGGAAATGTTTAGAGGTGAGGAAAGATTCCTCAAAGCTCTAAAGAATGACGGGAGGGGGGAAGGGGGGCAGTATTGGAACCCGTAACCAAGCTGGTCTTGATTAGCCGACGCAGTGCCAGCCAGACAGGCGGAATGTAACGTGTGGCTGGCCTGGCCTCATTTAGGGCCTGTGTTCGGCCAGGGAAGACATACACACACCCACATATACACACTCAGTCACATACGCACCCTATTACAAAAAAACACAAAGAGTTAAAGTGCCATTTTCTCCATAAAAGTCAGTGGAGGAGATGTGTGCAGTAGCCACTTAAGCCTCTCAGCCATCGGGCTAAACATGAACACATGTGGCGGCACTGCTGATTGGCCAAGCCGCTCGCCTTCCATGGTAGCGTGGAGCTATAATGAAAGAGATTTCAGAGGGGCTCAGGCCTGGGATCCCTAAACAGCCTTTAATGGATTCCTGTGTCAGGGCAGTAAATCTGGGGCCGGGCCGACGTGCCAGCCAGCCAAAGCGGAGCGGAGATGCACCTGTGAGACACTTGGGGAGGGTTTGGACAGAAACACTGCATGTTCACGGTGCATGCAGTTATTTAGACTGTGCATTTGTGCAAGAGAGCGGTGTTTTCGGGAAGCAGGGCCTCTCTCTCTCTCTCTGCGTCTAGGTGTTTATTAAAGCAAGGTGAACCCAAACACAACCAGACACAGGTCATGAAGCCTGGCCCTCTGATCTCTGTTACAGCTCTGATGCCGTCTACAAAAGAAAGTTCCACAGGAAGCCGTAAACGGATGGCACCTCACTTCACGGCTTTATCAATTTGTCACTCCCTCTCTTCACTGTGACCCTTGAGTGCAGCAGTTAAGATTAGACTATTTACAGCAACCAAGCATTTTACGATAGAAGGAGTGGGTTTATCACACTGTTTTTTTTTTTTTTTTTAAATGGCCAACATACTGCATTCATTTGACTGGTAATGTGAGATACGACGTATGCTTTTGTTAGTCACTTGAATATAATATCTCTCCTCCTGAAAAGCTGTTGAAATCATCAGCATCAGTTAAATCTGAGATCTAAAATTAGATGTACTGTACGTCAATGTAAAATGACAACAGAAATAGAGAGAGAGACTCTTCAAATGTGCTCTGAGATATTCTCCACCAAAGCTGTGACAGCTGTGCCACCTTCCCATACCTCCTCAGGCCTGACAGGACAGGGGAAAGCATAAAATAGCAGAACAACAGATTATCATACTGCTCCTTCATTAGCTTCTCGCTGTCGGCTAATGGGAAGCTAAAAGGTGAAAATGTAAAAAGTGATTCTCCCCTACATGCCTCCCCTGTCTCCCATTTCCTCCCTCCATCACTCTGCTGTCAGCGACAGATGTCACTGTTTCTGTCGGTCTGGCTCTCGCTTCCCTTCCTCTCCCCACAAGTGCGACTGTACAGATCGCAGGGAGCCAAGGAGTCAGGAGGAGATACAGCAGAGGAGTCACGGAAAAAATAAAGAAATGATTGGGTTGTTTCAGTTAAATCAAGGATAAGATTTGACATCTGAGCTTCTCCTCACAGTGTTATTTTCGTTTTTACCTTGAGGGAAACATTTATTTAATCATTTAAATATTATTTTGTAATCTTTTTATTTTTTTGACTTTGATCAGAGTACCTGGCTCAAGAAGTTAAAGAATCCTGATTACCACTAGTTTCGGCTTCAGACATAAAAAGCCACACATCCTCTTACAAGCCTTCACAGTCACGGATTGTGAGTAAACTGAATAGAATTGTAGACGTGACCAACTTATCCTTTACTCTCACCCTTTACATCCTGGCCGTGCAATAAGCAAAGGTATGAAATATATCTAAGGGGCCTCAGATTTGATACAACAAATTACATTTCATTTCTGTGTTTATGAGGGGAAAGTAGTCATCACCATCTGCATTTGGAGAAACAAACTTTCCCCTCCTCTTCCCTCCTCTTCCCTTCCTTCCCTGCATGACCGGTTAAGCGGAACAACTACGCCTCTCTGTGACGGGGCCAAACGCTAGCGGACTTTAATAGCCAGTCTTACATTATACATTTCATATGGTATTTCTGAGCGGGCACTGATCTCACAGCTTGGCAGTGTATGTAAAGAGATGCCGGCAAAATGCAAACAAACCTTGGGGAGAGGCAGAGCCTTTGCAGAAGTACGGCCAAGTCTGTTTAAGAGCTGCTCGCTCAAAGAAAAAAGAAAGAAAAGAAAGAAAAACGGCATTTGAGGCAAGATTCACTGCTCGTCGATCCAACTGGCTGTTGCTGAAAGCCCGCTTCCCTTTCACTTAAAAAAGGAGTCATATAAATGAAGGAAAATGTGAATTATGCTCATTCTGTTGGACTAAACTCATCCAGTAAGATCACCTGGTGTCTTTCTGTGAATGGGTGCAGTGCAGTACTCTGAAGGTGCCAGGAGATGGCACTTTGGGTTCAGCGAGGAAGTCAGTTGGTCTCTGAAGTGGGAACAAACTAAATGAAATGGAGACTACAAATGCATACAAATAACCCCCCCACACACACACACACACACACACACACACACACACACACCTTAAAGCTCATTGTAATGCATTCTAACCATTCATCTAACAATATTAATCTTCTAATAAATATTATGAGCATATTTGAGCTATTTCCATTTACAATAACAGCAAACATGTCATTATGAATTATAGCACACACACACACACACACAATAATCTACAGTACATGAATAGACTGTGAAATAGTTATTAGCTATTCAGTTTACTTAGAAAGTATTTCTTTAGCATATTGTTCATATTATAGCATTTTCAATCATGTACTGAATATAATACACACACACACACACACACACACACACAGTCTATGTAAGGCTTTATGAGCAATATTTCAAGTTAAGTGTATTGTACTAAAAATAAATATTATTAGTAGAAGCATGTTTAACTCAAAGACAGATGATCCTGAAATCATAACCACACAAATACAGTCGGTGCACATACGTGTCCAGTGGCCATGAACACAGGAGCTGTCTCCCACTGATCGAGCACACAAACATCCACCCATGCATACACACGCGCACGCACACACACACACACACACACACTGAAGTATCCATGTGACTTTGTTCCTCTGTTTTACATCTTTGTCAGCTCCCTGATTCCCCTAAGAGATGTGGTGTTTTCCGGGCTGGCATCTCTGCTGCCTCACCAGGTGAAGAGTCCAGAGCCTGAGGCTGAGCCGGGCCACAGGCCTGCTGGCTGTCATTGTCCATAACACTGACCCAACCTCTCCTCTCCTCTGCTCTCCTCTCTCAACAGCTGTCATTGTGTTGTCTCCAACCTGAGGCAAGCTGCTAAATGCATGCGTGTTTGTGTACATGCAGTACACACAATCAAAACCATGCTCATGTACAAAAGGGCTAAGGTACAGACACGCACTCTCTGTTTGCAGATGCTCACAGCACAATACCACATAAAACACACACACACACACACACACCAGATATACAGAATCTCAAAAACAGATGTGGCACTCACACAGAGAACCATACAGGAGCTAGAACAATGGTTGTTGTTTGTTGTATCAGACGAGGAGTCAGCGGTCCAATTCAGTCTTGTTTTTGTCAAACGAAAGGATTACTCCTACATTCTTAATCAACAAGCTCACCAAACACTGACAATCACCCACATTGCCAGATACGGCTGAAATATGTGCGCAAATGACAACAGCACTTTCACTTTGGTACATGTGTGTTGGCTGATCAAATAGAAGAGGAATTTCATAACTCGGATTATTTTTTGCTCTGATTAATTAAAAGGAAGCTACTCCAGGATCATTCATTTCATTTCAAGGACAGCCATAGAGGAGTTTGCAAAAAAAAAAGAAAAGATGAATGCTCAAAATGTTTCAGGCTTCTTCTTTCATACAGGAAGATGGAACGTCTTTAATCAGATCACCATCATCATGTTTGGAGCGCCAGATGACAAAATGAGTCTGAATTTATAATAGCAGGCGAATGAGGCTTTGTTGGTCACTTGGTCAGAGGTATGGATGCGTGAGAAGGACAAGGGAGCGGGTTTACGAGTGTTTGTACTGTAGCTAAGGACACAATGCAAAAATGTGTCTTAAAGGCAAATAAAAAAATCAAAAAAATCTGTATACGAAGTGAGTTTCCTTTCACTCAGGCATGAATACGGTTCAATAAGCAGCGCCATTGTACCATCTTTAATATACACTCAGTTGCCAGTTTATTAGGCACACCTACAGTAGCTAAAACTAATGGAGTACTACCTTAAAGAAGGTTTTAATGTTCAGTTTTTGTTGAACTTTAAGAACTGAAGAGAGGTGCTGATTCAACTTGATGGTCAGTTTGGAGGCTGGTTTTTTTGTGGTGCTGTGTTGTGACGCGTTTCTAAAAATGAGTCTCAGGTAATAAAATTGGGGTACAATGTCAATTCAAGAAAAGTTAGATATATTTATTTTAGGAAAATAATATTTTAGGATGGAAAAATGAATTGCATGGATGGACACAGACAGGACAGAAATGGAGTGGGACATATTTTAAGGAATAAGCATGGAGGAATAAGAGTTGGTACTGCTATAAGTGTCTGTGTGTGGGCACAAGAGGCGGTAAAGGAAGGTTTTCTATTTTTTTTCCACTTTACTTAACCTTTATTTAACCAGGTTAGTCCCATTGAGAGCAAGGAACACCTGGTCAAGATAGCTGTGGGCAGAACACAGTATCAAGATTTCATGGGCAGCAATTTAATACATAAAAAAACAGATAGAAAGGAAGGAGAAGGAAAGATAAGAGGGGGTAAGAGATTCCTTTGAACTGAAACTGAAATGTAAATACGGTGTGCTTTAAACAGTCAGGTGAAAGTAAAGAAAAGGCTCTCATTAAGAAAAATAAAAACCTAAAAAAAGAGTCTATTTAATTCTGTACTTGCCAAATGATTTTCCAGAGGTATTCCATAAACAAAAAACATTATTTCTAAACTGGACATAAACATCTTTTTGTGAAAGAATTAGTTATTTTTTTGAGCTTCCATTTTGAGTTTCTAAGTAACGTGTTTTAATTTGTTTATAAGGACATAAACCAAGCTAATACGACTATCTTGGAAAAACAACAGCACAGTTTTGAACTTTTTCAATCTTTCAGGGGTTACTGCACACTGACGGGCCATAAACTATCAAGGCTTTCTTGGCTTCTCAATTTTCAGTCTTATTTTCACTTGACAGAATGTCAGAGTGCAGTCTCCTACTGGGGTTTATGTCTTTAATATGTAGGCATCCGGGAAACATAGACGAGGAAACTGTACTTGAGCTAAAAGGTAGAAGTAAATATATAACGTTAATGTGATAAGAGAAGAAAAGCATTGTGTATGGCTGAAGAGGAACTGATGGACTAACTATACAAACACAAACACAAAATCAGTGCTGTGGGACGCGTGTCCTGTGCATCCCTCCTCCAGTGGTCTCCAGGGACCCGTTACTGTGGCAATGAACAGGCCTCAATGGCAGGGACAGGGGTGTGAGAGTGTGTATATCCTGAATGCAGTGTGTATGCGTGTTTGTGGGTGTGTGCGCCCATCAATTGCATGTTAACTGTTAATCTGTGTGCGTGTGCGTGTGTGTGTGTGTCGGGCTGGCCCGTCTTTGTGTGTGTGCTTGCTGGGGGGAGGGTGTCCGAGGAGGCCCTTAGAAAAGCCCTAATTGCCGTTCCTCTCCTCTCCCCGGCCGTCACACCTTCCTCTGCGCTAAGACTTTCCAGCCTCATCTCACATACACGCACACGCGCACACACACACACACACACACACGCACACACGCACACGCACGCACACACACGCACGCACACACACAGGAAACACAACGCTAATTAGAGACGGCGCAACCTCTCCTAATCAAACTCTTATATGACTGTGACCAAAATGTCAGTGTGTGCATGCAGGGATGTTTTTTTGTGTATTTTTAAGACAGAACTGGCAGTCAACTTGGTATTTTTTTCATTTAGCCAAAATAAGTGGAAAAGCTCCAGCTGAGAGTACAGAGGTATAGATATTAGGTGGAAGATTTAACTAGTAACCTGAGGCTGTATGCATGCTTTTAGTACTGTACTTAAGTGTGCAATTTTAATTACGTTAAACTAAACTTCCTTCACCAAGAACTATATGTCCACGCTTTCATTCACACTGCAGTCTCTTCGTATTTTCTAACGTTTTTACCTCTCTTGATAAATTTATTGATGAATGTGTATTTTGTGAGCGTGCATGTGTTTGCACATTCTATGCCAGCTCTGCACGAACACGAACACACACACACACAAGTGCTATCCACTTATTGGGCACAAGCAAATTCTTCAGAGGAAATGCTGACCAGCAGATGAGTTGCTTCTACTGTCCGTGCTGTTCAGAGAAAAATACTGAATGTACAACATGAGTGCGTTGAAAGAAAAAAAATTGCTTATCATTACATTTGGCACCCTGACAAACTACTGTACTTCCAAGAGCTGTTTCAAGAGAGAGAGAGAGGGAGAAAGTAGGGGGAGAAAGAAAGAGAGGAGGATGGAGATAAAAAAAGAGAGAGAGAGTGGGGATGAAGAGAGAAAGAAAGACAGAAATGAGAACAAAAAGTGGACGGAAAGAGCACAGAAGTGGAAGACCGCATCCATGTCGATCAAGTGAAAACTGAGCTCTCGTATGATCAGTCAGTGTATATGTAGTTAACTTATTTACTGATGTGTATCTGTGTGTGTGTGTGTGTGTGTGTGTGTGTGTGTGTGTGTGTCATACCCGTCTCATCTTCTGCAGTCTCCTTGGAGACAGGCTCTTGGTGCTGGTGGGAGACCCCTCACAGACCATCACCCCCTCTTCTTCTTCTTCCTGAGAGAGAAATGAAATGAAATCAATGTAAAATGATCTGTGTTGTATATGAACTAAAGGGACTAGTATGTAGAACGTGTTGGTGGGAGAATAATGTGTTTTTGCATTCAAACCACATCACAACACATTCAATGCATTACTCCTTCGTTCAAGTTAATCCATTTCAAGTGAAAGAATGAAAGAAGCCACAGAACTAAAGTAAAGACGCTCTTTGTACAGTTTCTATTTCTCAGTGACATTTGTAAAAGTTAAAGCAGGGGTCTTCAACGTTTTTCAGGCCAAGGACCCCCAAACTGATAGAGAGATGGAGCAGGGACCCCCGACTATATATATTGTATAAAATTGTGTTTTATACTAAATGGGCCTAGTACCGAGTATACCTCTTTATTGTGCATTCAATACTAAGCTATTCAAATAATACACAGGTTCATATATTCATGTTTTTATTTTAAACATGTGCGAGGTACAGTGAGTAGGGAGGCCGTGCCACTGCCATTTATAAACACACCTTGTCAGCTGATATCAATGGCAATATCAACATTGTCTGTCAGTTGCATGATAATCATACACACAAACTATTCAAATTGATGTTTTCATCTTAAACATAAATGTGGAAACGTAAAATGAGTGATGGCCTATTAGTGCCACTGCCATGCATGAACATACCTGTTATCATGCATACAGTACTGAACTATTACAATAATGGACAGATTCATGTTTAGAGAAAAAACTTTTTTTCTTTTTTAAATTGTGTAATCAACCAAACATTTCACGGACCCCCTGCAGTACCTCTGCGGACCCCCTAGGGGCCGCGGACCCCCTGTTGAAGACCTCTGAGTTAAAGGATTAGTCTGGTGATAGTCTATATTTTTCTTACTACCAACATCTACTGTGAAAATATGCATTGATCCTTCTAATAAGTATTGTTTATCTGCACCACAGATCAAAAGTGCAATCAATAAACCACAGTTTGATGACACGATGAACATGGTCACTGTGGTCAATCTCACACACACCGTCCTGTTACTGCGAATACTCGGTAGCGCATCAAATCTGCCCCTAAAAATAGTCCCTTACAAATGCACCGTGTATTTGTGTTTGGATAACGTTTGCTAAGAGCTACAGTGCCCGGCTGCTTCAGTAAATCACTGAAACAATTAAAGTATGTACTCACGACCCGTCTTTCAAAAGAAAGATCTTCAGTAAGAACAAATGAGTTCGGGTCTCTGAGCCACGGACATGGTATCACAGTTGGAAAACATAGAGAGAAGAAGCAACGCATTGGTGGTTTTGGCCTTTTAATGGAATCTTTGGATAACAGCACATATATTTATTATCACTGGCCTAATCCTTTAAAACGTTCTCTACAAGGTTAAAACAATTATATTCAAGGTAGCCACCGCTGATGAGCTTCATTTCAATATGTTTGTGCATCGGGGTCCTTGTTTAGACATCTGTGGCTGGCAGCAACATAAATGCACTGCAGATTAAGTGTGATCCTGAGAAAGTCAAATTAATTAATTTGTGTATTTGAGAATTAATTCATGAACGCACAGGAAATCTGTTTCACCTCAAATCAAATAGATTTCAAAACCTCTACCTTCCTCTACTGTGTGTGTGTGTGTGTGTGTGTGTACACACACATGCAGAACACTGCAAACTCCTCGTGCTCTTCATCAGTGCCCTCTCTGCTCAGTTTCCCACTGACAGATCAAACTGCTATTGCCTTATCAAATCCATCAGGCTTATGTAAACATACACCTCGTTACATTAGCTTTGAGGAAATCACAGGCTCACTGATGAAATATGCAGACAATAAAAGAGAAAGAGGGGCTGGGGCCTGGATGACATGACAGGCCATAGCCAGAGGGGTGTTGGTTAAAAATGTACAGCCCTGAACAAAGCGCTAAGCAGGCTTCAACAGTCATTAAAGGGCCCGGCGTCAGAATCACACACTCCATGTAAAGCAGCCTTCCTGTCTGTTTCTATGAGGGGGGGGGGGGGGGGGGGGTGTCTACTGTATCTGTGTGCTCTCAGAACAGAATCATGTGTGCGCACACAATTTCTACGAGCGTGTGCATGTGTGTCAGGGAGGTGTGAAGGTCCGTGCTGCTCACCCTTGCTTTAAGTCTGTCCTTAATGTCTCGGATGCCCCTCTTGGCATGACTCTTGGCCTAGGATGAAAAACAACGCACACACACAGATTACTAATCAAAACATGTTGCATTAACATTCTGTTCTGGTTTCGTGTAACATCACGAGAAGCTTTGATCCCTGCGGCAAAAAACACAGAGACAAAAGGCTGGATGAGAGAGAATCGCACACTAACAGAAGGCGATAACATGAAAGGGCACCCTGACCACCTATTGTACAGCACATGACGACATGGTACTGCTCATCAAACGCACACTACAAAACTCCCATTCCTTCCACCGTCAATTACTAAACACAAAACAACCGGCAAAATGTCTATTTCAGTGGAGTTTTAAGGACTCGATGTTTCAAGTTATGTACATATAGAAGAAACATTACATTGAGCTACATTTATCTGACCGTTTTGAAGAAGAACGTACTTTAGTCACAGCTGTGTTGAGAAGTGATCCTCCTCTCTGTAATAGACACAGAACATTATTAGTAAGTCACTTTGGGTGAGTTTCCACACATACAGATTTATTTTAAAATATCAAATATTCATATTATGCACACAGCATGCAATCATATCGTGGTGATCGAATTTCAGCATAAATGGCTCAGAGCAAGCTGCACTGCAGTTTGATTTTTGCATACATTTTTGTCATACTGTGAAGTATCCTTATCAATATCATGAGGGTTACTTCTACCACATCATTTGACTCCTGCAGTAGTCGCAAAGGACTCATTTTCAATATCAAACACAACCAAAACTCCCTGTGCAGCTGTAAATAGTATTGTAATGCAACTTTCATATACAACTGGTGACAGCAGGCAAAGTATCATATCGCTGAGCCATGATAAACTGCATGATTCAAAGCATTCAGGAGGTTTTTATTTAGAAGCAGCCTAAAACAGCGATGGAAGGGACTGTGCGTGATTGATTTCTACTTTGAGTTCTGCAGACTGACATCATGGCACCCAATATCTCTCGGTGCCTGTCTTCTTTTCTCTCTCTCTCCCAGAGTTGCTGCATCTCTCCTCTGGCGTCTCGCTCTTCTTCTCTGTTTGGTCTTTAGTGTAAGCACAAAGCGTCGGCTAAACGGCTAAACAGAGTAAATGGCAGACAGCGTTTTAGAAGTCGGCAAAGGGAGAAGAGGAGAGAGGCCGAGGTGAAGGCCCCTCTTATAGATCCCCGTCAGTCAGGAAATGTAAACTTTAACAAATCTTTGAAGAGCACTCTAGAGAACTAATTCAGCCTTAGCTGACGGCGTGGGGAGAGATGGAGGGGAGAGAGAGAGAGAGAGAGATACTCTGTGTAAGAGAGAGAGAGGGAGACAGAGGGGGGGCTGTGACAGAGATGAAAAGAGGGAGAAAGAGAAAGGAAGAGAAAGTGAGAGAGAGAGAGAAATAGATAAGGGGAGCAAAGAAGAGGAGAAAAGAGACAGGAGATGAAGAAGGAGGGAGAGATCTATGTTCTTGGGTCGGTTCAGCAGAGTAACGCCCGTGTTTGCTGCCAAATCAACATGTCATTTCGGAGGACGTCTTGTCACGTCAAATCACTTCTGTCTCCCTCCCTGTCTGTCTGTCTCCACTGTCCTGCTGCACGCGCCGCTTCACTCACACGCACGCACGCACGCACGCACGCACGCACGCACGCACGCACGCACGCGCACGCGCACGCGCACACACACACACACACACACACACACACACACACACACACACACACACACACACACACTGCACTCGAGCTGGATCTGTACATTCAGGCAGCCCCTTCATTCCAAAAGCAACACCAGGACTTCAAACGCTGAGCTGTGTCAATCACACTTTCAATTAAATATAACTCGGGAATGAAATGAGTGAAACATTAAAAAAAAGCCGTAGATAAAAGCGTTTAGATACGACATGCAGGACATTCTGTGAATACCTTCACAGTGTGCATCCATTGCTGGTAGGACCTTGAATTACCTGGAGGGATGTATAAAACACAGAACATGAATTAATCATTTTGCACTCGATAGCATTGTATTAACATTGCAAAGCAAAGGTAACTATGTATATTACACTGTGACATAGTCTCATGGCTACACACACTCGCACATTACTGAGCATTTTAAAAAAAGTGGTTGTTTAAATGTATTGAATATAACTACATTTAGTGCTATAAGGCTTTTAATTGTCTTGTTTTCTTCTTCTGTCCCTTTTGTTACACAATCGATAATAAATACTGTTGAATACAACATTAGTGTGAGCAACTGGATGTGAAAGACTTGTGCATGCAGAGGGGAGGGCTGCTTTAAAGGACATCTTTATGGTGTCCGGGGCTCTAAGATGTTTACAGAACAGAATTACTGACGACTGTGTGTGTGTGTGTGTGTGTGTGTGTATGTGTTTGGGATCAGAATTCAAAAGCCCAATAATATGATGGATATTTAGCTGCAACGTCTGGATGGCATCTCTTTTTTCTTGTCATGTAAATAAGACTCAAACCTGAAGTGATGTGATCAAAATCATATAATTTGTGTGAGCACTCCTATGGGATTTCAAACCTCTGATGTCTCGTGCTCAGTCTCCACACATAACGCTCAATCCTGCCAAAACAATACTAATTCTTTCGTCAATCTCCTTTTGTCACATTCAATCACATTAACAAGTAACCTCTGCATCAGTTCCAATTGACAATCAAGATACATGTCAAATGTAAAAAAATAAAAATGTACCTTTTTTTTTTTTTTTTTACAGTTTTTAGATTGGCCAAGAGTCACTTGAAGCCATTTAGTTGTAGTTTTTAAATTGATAAGAAAGACAATACAGTTCATTGGTGCATTCGTATTTGAAAGTGCCTCATGTGGTCATGAGATATTTAACAGCAGTCTTCAAACATTACTCAAAGAATAAGAAGTTCAGCACCAGGAATGTTATAAAACGTATACTTGGACACTACAGTGTACTATATAACTACCGTCTATTTAATTAGTTTATCATTGTTTTTAGAAGACTTTTGGTCATTTCAATTGTTTTAGAGTTTTGAGAGCAAGATACATTCTATTTGGGGAGTGGAAGGCTCTTTGCTTTTAATTTTCCTAACTTTAAAGATGTCTCCTTATTTTGGTCACTGCTTTTACTGTACATCTTACTATAGCACTAATAACTACAGCCCACTGCATGAAATATGGCAAATAAATATAATGTGGCTAATTGATAGACAGGTCTAGCACTACTCACTTCCACAGAAGCCCCCCTCTGTGATCTCCTCTTCAAACACGTCGGAGAAGCCGCGGCCTGCGTTCAATTTGGCCAGCCGTCCGTCGATGAACTACAACCATAAATTACAACGTGCTTATTAAAGAAGAGGGGGGGGGGGGGGGGGTGGACACACTGAAACAGATACAAAACACACACACACAGAATCAAACACTCAGGCCGCAGTGGGGTGTTATTAATCCTACCTGACAGAAACTACATCCCAAGATTAGGTGGGTTGCAGGTAATAAGGATTTGGTAATGTGGAGCAGGTGAGGGATTAGGGCAGCAGACTACATGCTGCACACTGTCTGAGACATGAGGAAGTTTCATTTCCTCCCTTTGTAACATGGAGCGCATAAAACCCCATCTCATAAATACTGACCTAACAGCCAAGACAGCTACACATTTCAAAACCTCCACAGACACAAACTCACGTAAATATGTTCTGCAAATACAAGCAGTCACACACTTACCTCAACCTTTGTGGTGAAAACAATACTAAATTAACGGCATTCTTTAGACATTAAAGCATGAGAAATATCTAGTTTTACAGGCCACGACCAAATAAAACCACTTATTAGAGTGGAAGGGAAAAGACAAAAAAACAAAATGGTGTCAAACAATCGTTTTTTAACACATTTCTTATCATTTTTGGGCCCTTATAAAAGCTCTGGTGCCTCCTCCGTACAGTTTACAGGCTCAGTTGACCCTCATCGTTTTTGCAGGAAAAAAAATCTCACTGTATATCATCTTTTTAAATACTGAACATGAAGAAAATCTCTAAAACAATTATGTGAATTTAGATCACTCAGTCACACATATGGTGCGCTGTTTTCTATTAGCTAAATCAAACCACATTGACCCCCAGGTTGCTGTTAGTTTCCTGTCCCATCGCTTATAATATCAGCAAATCACTGGGTGGAAATAATATGTTCCAGTCAAATCCTTGGGCTAATCTTGGCGCGTTTCTAGTGTTAAAAAAAAAAAAAAAAAAAAAGCCAGCTGCAGCTCTTATATTTTATTCTCAAGATGTGGCGCCAAGTCGTGAAAACTACTTTCTACCAGTTTCTGTGTGTATATTTATTGAGCTAAATCTTTGGTGTCCAAGCTTAAACTAGAATCTATCTTTTCAACCTCTTCAGTTTATCTGTGTAAAGGTGGGAGGGAAAGCATTTAACAATCTGTTATGGTGTCTATTAGTATATATAAAGAACTAAAACATATATTTGACTGATGATTGCATTAAATAACAATCAACACCTCCTTCCTTTCAAGCACTATTTTGGTACACTATTCTTTTTAATACTTGAAAGCAACATAAAGTCTTAACTGTATCACTCCTCCTCCCACCTCTGTGACTGTGTCCAAAGTGTAACAACAGTGTAGGTTGTTTTAGGGCACGTGTCCTCGGGGACAGACCGCTAACTAGCGACCGACACGGCCGCCCGCTCCTCTGGTCAGAAGAGCCGGAGACTCATCATTAGATCATTTTAATGAGAGGTGAGACTGCAGGTTTCAACCACTGCTCCGCTATGTGGCTGGCCCAATTAGTGCAGATAATCAACCCAAATCATCACCTAGCCAAAGCCTCCACTTATCTCCCCCCTCGTCTCCCTCCACACACACCCTGGCCAGATTACCTGCCTCACTGTGGGCCTTAATTGGACATTACTCAACAATGGCAGACTGTGATCACCACACACGCTCTCACACAGACACACAAACCAACACTTGTTCATGCACTCGTGCACATGCACAAACACACGAACACAATGGCTCATTTTCTTTGTTTTGAAAGAGAGAGACCAAAAAGAAAAAAACTCTCTCAAAGAGTTCAAACAAAAAGTAGGAGACATTTAAATACATTGTTTTAACACTTTGTCAATACTTGTTGCCCTAATGACATAAAAATAAATTCAAATTATTCTGCTTAAATAGTTTTTGTGTAAATCAAAGCACAGCAAATCCTGCTCCATCTCTCCATTTCTACATGTCCTCTTGATTCCTGAAGCTGTTGTAGCAGCGGACCGTAGACCGTGAGAGTTATTCCATCTGGCTACCAGCACATTGACTCACAGTGGTCACAGTGCTCTAGATGTATTTAAACTCTGGAATTGTGGAGCCAGAAATTGGGATTAGGACTCCACAGGGGTTCATGAACAGAGATACACAGACAGCCTAAAGGAAATGTAACATTTGCGACCTGGAATTTAGGCCCATAAAGTGTGGATACTAAGGGATATAGCAGAAATCATGTCACTCATACGTTTCTGAAAGGAGGTTTTGAAGGTTGGATACTGAAGCATCATCTTGTGTGTCACAGTGACACACAAGATGACTTCAAATAAGCTATGAAGACCCCAATCTGTTGTAGAAAAATTGATTTTGTATTGTGAGAATGTAGTCAGAACTATCTGAAATGAATTCTTTACAGTAAGAGAGTTTGTGGAGCCAGCATCTAGCAGCCATTAGCAGCGGTGCATTTTAAAGCCCTGGCTTGGACATGGAGGAGGCAGCTACTTGTATCCATTACTCATATTGGTTATAATAAAATGTAGTTTTCCAGCTTACTGTGACTGCTGTGATACGGAGTGGACGGAGCAACTACATGATCAGATTTTAAATCAGATCATTTGGTTTTGCAAGGACACACCTTTTCCCCTTTCGGTAAATGGCTCGGCTACTGCATTCTTACACGCGGAGAATGACGGATGATTATTGATTGATGGGACGCACATGGTCTACAAAGGCTCCTGGCAGTAAATTATCAGACTACAAGTCTCCCTACTGACTCAATAACACTGTGTACGGCTCAGTTTTGTCAATAAGAGGAAGAGACTTCGTTTTATCAGTCTCTGCTAGCACAATACACACACACATGATGTGCGCTTGTCAGTGTGTAGGAGCTGAGAATGGTTGATAGGAAGCAGGTTAACGTCGACAGGCTTTCCCCCGCATTCTTTTAGAAGACTTCTCCCACTTGTTCTGTTCTGAACAGAGATGGGCCGAGCACACAGGAAACAGGAACAGAGCAGAAGTGTGTTAGAAGGTGAAACTGTGACATTTGAAGAGGTGTGTATGTGTATATATACAGTATATATTTTAGGGTTGGCTTAGTGTCTATATGTCATAGAGGCAAAAGATAAAAGGACTGTTGTTCCTGCTTTTTGTCCGCTAAGCACACAACGTAAATGCACTTGACATTTACATTGTAGTTCACAAGAAGGTGTTCTTATCCAACATGTTGCAATAATGCATTTTAATAAGGCTATTGAAAGTAATTGATGGCCCTAATGACATATAACAGCACACAATAGTCTCTCTGTCTACTCGGCCACTCAGCTAATAAAGTATTACTGATGTTTTGCTGAATTTGCATAAAAAAAACTTCACGCTGTTCCATCTATAAAACTGAAAATACTTGTGAAGCAAAAGAACTGCTTCACAAGGATCGAAAACAAAATCACCTGTAGAAAAGCAATTTCCTGCTGAAACGGTAACACCTCAAACTCAGGTAACACCTCGACATTCTGCGTGTGTGCTTCCCCGTGTGTGTAACGTGTGTTGTGGTCGACCAATTCCTATAATATGGTTTGAATTTGGCTCAAGTTTGACCCATTATTGTTGGCGTATAGGCGACAGTGACAAATCCCATACTTTAAAGGCCATGGTGTGCAAGTGATTAGATGATATACAGTATATACTTAAATATACATTGTATTAGACATGTTGTTGCTTGATAATTGAGCAGCCCAACCTGTTTGTTTACACATTCCTGTCAACAATACCATTGGGGAAAAAAAACAAAAATTGTTAACTTCAAACTAAATCATGAACTAAACTAAACTTTTATAAAGTAAAATGTTCATCCTTGCTCCTTTTGTAATATTAGCATTGCAACATTTTGGGATTTTATTCCAGATTATACATATGACAATTTATAGCAGTATAAGTGTATTATTCATTGTGTGTGGCCAAACGCTATTCATGTTTTTTTAATTCGATGGCATACTAATAAGAGAGCAGTCCTACTTTCAGGCCTATAAACAACGTGCAATATACTGACAATGAGGACAATATATTGGTGCAAAAATAACACAATGGTATAAAAACAGTCAATAACAAAACAAGGGGCAGGAGAAATGGAAAAAATCCAAACTTTCACAGTCCATGAGTGTGTACTTACGTATATAAAAATGAATGTGTGCATGTGTGTGGCCACGCACGTTGAGCATTGTTTGCGTGTTTGAGAGCGGATGTGGGTCATGGCCAGAGCAGGGCTCGGGCGGATCGCTGGCCTCTCTCACTTTAGTCGAAAGAGGAGTGGAGGAGATAAGCTCACCCCATCCACCGCGCTAGAGAGGAGGAGGAGGAGGAGGAGGAGATAAGGGCCTGTTTCCCAATGCTACCGCTGAGGCAGGAGCCAGCCCGGGAGGATGCTTTGAACTGCTGCTCGCTATCTGCTCTGCCTGGGAAAATTATAGACGGGGCAAAGTGTCCGGAGAAACAAAAGGCTGATTGAGGACTGCTGTGCTGTAACTCTCGGGGGTAAATCATACTACTATCACGGGTCAGAGAGCACCGAAAAAAAGAATTCAAGGGTTGAGAGGAAATTTTCTTCGGAGCCAGAGGTGTCTCTCCACTCGGCTCTGGCTTAGCTAAGTTTAGTATTGCTGGAGGGATTTGGGGATGAAAACATATTAAGTATACATGAGTGATTTTAAAGGGAAACTCGTGTAACCACACATGAATAAAGGATAGGCCTACCTGCTCACACGCTCACAAACACACACATACATTCACTGTACATAAATACAAACATGAACACTGTGGATTATTTACTTGCGGTGAGTTTTACATTTTCCAAGGACAAAGTTAAAATTCGCTACGTTTTTTTTGTCTGTATTTTACAGGCACGTGCATACATGTTAAAGACAGAATACAACCGTGATATGGTTTTTCTCCAGTAAAATACATATAACAGGCCTGACTTATCGTAGTTTTGTTTGTACACCAGGAAATATTGAGCAAACAGAGAGACATTAAGAAATAACAAAAGCGTTTTGAGAGATAACCAGAGTAAACAGTTTCTAGGGGTCAATAACCATCTCTAATCCCAGGCCTCTCTCTTCTCCTTACTCTGAACAACTGAACTATCAAGATACTAAGTGCTAACTTTGCCCAGTTGACAGTTTGCCGAGCACAAGTGGTGCTGGGAGAGAACTGTAAAACTGCTTTTACCCTTCTAGATATAGAATCTGCTCAAAAAATAAACAGCTCAACAATAAACATTGATGGGAGAGGACGGAGCAACCTTCCATAAGAGCACTCATTCATCTTTTCATATTTGTGCTGGCCTACAGCTTACGGGATAGAGTCAATGTAGCCATGTACGTGACAGTATATAATACAATTATGATTTTAAGGAGGATTAATGGTTCCGTATTGATGCATAAAGGTAAATATGATGTCCGAAATTTAAACATTTTCTATGGTCAGATAAGATTTTTACTTGTTACAATATGACATAAATGAGTAGTTCATGCTGGTTTTAAGAAACTGACACACACACACACACACACACACACACACACAGGTTTGTACCTGTTTGAAGAGCTGCAGGTTGACGGCCATCGACAGGAAGTTCCTCATGGTGCCCGATCGATGGTTCGCAAAGCTCTCCTCACAGAAAGTGATTGGCTCCCCCTGAGGAATCCACAGCGACATTATTGGCAAAAAATTACAATAAAAATATAATACTTATATATTTTGGCTCACTGTTCTTTGTACCAATCTGTTTATCTCCATGTTTACTTGAGCCACAGGAAACAAAGGCAGGTGTGTGTGTGGTGCCTTAAAAGGCAGGGGGTCTAAACTTAACAATGTTGTTTATAATATGATTTACAGCACGAAGAAGATCGCATCTTCCATATTTACATTATGCACTGTAAAAAGTCTTCTTAAAAACCAAGGAGTATTTCAACTGATTTCTTCATTAGTGAGCTCACTGGGCTTAAAAAAAAGGATCAGGAGAGATGAGGTGAGTATTAACAGAAAACAACATTCCCGTTAAAACGGTTTCCCTGGAAAAGAGCGATCTCCCCTGGACCAGAAGACTGGGTCCCAGTAAACTCTCCAGTACTCCACGTGAACACATCATCACATTATTACTATTTCTTACATCATGTCTGTTGGCCTGTGAGCTATAGACATGGAGGATGACAACAGAACCACTGCAGGCCAATCACACGCAGCCCTACAGTCATTTCCAATTCAGTTTTTTTTTCATAATTAACATAATTCTCACATATTCCAATGATGCTCTAAATTCTTCTAGCGTAAAACAATGTGCTTTGTCTGTTCTAGGCTACAAGCACAGTGTGGCGCATAAAAACAACTTAACAACACCATTGACTAACTACATGTTCGAGGATGGGCGGATGATACCAGTGGCCCAAATTACATCACAGGAATACTGCTCCACTTACATCACTAAAAGTTTTTAAGGCTTATTCTCTCATAAAGCCGAGTTGAAAGTAGCTTGTTGTAGTTTAATCAGCTTGCAGTTTCCATCTGGCTGCTACAGCCTCCGACCATACTGCAGCGACCACAACTGAATAGCATGCAGAGACTAACAGCTAATTGCTACCGAAAAAAACTTCCAAAGTCAACTTTAAGGCTAGGTCTGTGTACACATCACTATCCAACAAAACCCTTTAGTACACACAGGCCACCAAAGAAAGAGAGCCGTATTAATTTGATCTATTTTAAGAGGGTCACCATGGTTGCCTAGCACAATAGGACAACTTCCAGTTAAAGTGAAAAAAAGAAATATGTCTTCACTGTATGTAGCCAGCCAACACCGTTGATCTAGTGAGACACCGTTAATCTAGAGAAACAGCACGAGGCTGGGCCGGTGTTGTAACGGCATGAAAAGAGAGGGACACACACACTCACATCTGGTACCGTCATAGTATTAACCATGTTCTTGTAAAGGACTCCGGCTGTATGTGGACACATTATATAGATCTTCTATACATGCAAATATGCTTTGTGTAGGATTTTGTGTATAAAACAGTCTTGACAGCTTTTAAACATGCGATGGCACCCCGACCTCTCCTCCTCAGAGTTTTCACACCTGGTTGGATCTCATGAACTGGTTACAAGCCCATTTAAACAGAATGTTGGCTAATTCTGCCCCTAAATAGTACCGATGACACGCCAATGGAATATGCACATCCACACACTCGACTTGGCTTCATCAACGGTGGTGAAAACTAATTTGAACTGCTGTTTCAGGTTGTTTTAGCCCGACATGTGCGTGCTGCTCTGAGCAGGTGAGAAGCACCTGGGAGAGAAACAACGTGAGCTGAAATTGATGACCTAAGAAATGGTGTTCTAATCAGCCCATTGCTTTTCAACGCATTTCCAGTATTGTTTCATTTACAACTCAGCAAGACTCCAACCAAACATCCACACCCCTCCTTCTGTCGAGGCATATGGGCCTGTGAACCACAGCGCTTGGCTCAGCTCCGTCTTCTCCTCAGCTCGGAACAATCACTGACAGAGTGATATTCCACAAATATCAGAACGCAGGGAGCATCATCAGCATCTTCATGCAAGCAGATGTGCATGTTTATGTGTGCGCATGTATGTTAACGACACCGATTTTGAGCGTGAGTGAACTGAGAAATGACTGCATGTTGTGCTCGCACATACGCTAACACACACATAACACTGAGTCTCAGTGCTCGTGTCAGAGGGGAGGCAGTTTGTTCATATACTGTCTGTATACAGAGAAAAGAGAGACAGCATCAATAATGTAGCATCTTGACTCCGGGAGTCCACAAAGTCCAATTAATCTCAAAGCCAAAGGAACAAAGGCTTCGCTATTTGACAAACAGGACATGCTGTAGTTTGCTCTGCTCTGACTCAGACTTGATAAGCAGAAAAGATCCAGAGAAGAAATGTTAGGGGGGCTTAGTAAAGGAGAGTAAAACACCAAAGGTGGCTAAAAGGGATCTTCAAAGGGAACGTCCTGACTCTTTTCAGCTCCTCTGACATTTCACTGCCTCAGACAGGCCCACCTTAGCTCTGCGCTCCAACCGAAAAACACACCTTTTACCTTCAGTCAAAACTGCCCCAGTCTAACCAGACTTCAGTGAAATTTGACTCAACTCACCCAAACTGAGATGGCTACTGCCTGCTACACAGTCTGACGAGCAAATGCATCATATTCTTGTCTGTGAATATTTAATTCTGCCTGTGAATGAAAATGTGATCTATGGCCTTTATACTTCATATGTTATCAATATGTTCTTGTTTTTAAATACAATCTATCAGAGCACAAGTATGTAAAATCAGTCATAAATATGTTTGTTTGATGAATATAAATGGTCACTTCAGCCAAATTAGAAAAACACAACATTCATTGTCACTTACCTTGAGATTCAGGTAGTGCTAGTTTTAAGTTTTTAGACATCTGTCTCTGAGACTTCTGCTGCCATCTCAGTATAAAAGATGTTACTGGAATTTCATTTGAGGTCCTGTCGGTATCAAAGAGATATAGTGTATACCTAACTATAGTCTATAAAACTAACCATGTGTTCTCTGATTTACCAGAGTAGAGTACAGGGGACATTTTTTTTCTTGAATAAGCACAAAAGAAATTCCACTTTTACATTACAGTCATTCTAGCAGACGCTTTTATCCAAAGCGACTTACAATACAGATTCTATCACAATACTACACTGTAGGCACAGCTACGGGAGCAATTTTGGGGTTAAGTGTCTTGCTCAAGGACACATCGACATGCGACTAGTGGAGCCTGAGCCGGGGATCGAACCGCCGATCCTCTGATTGAAGGACGGCCCTGCTACCCACTTAGCCACAGTTGCCTGTGCCAATTACATCCATTGTAATAAATAATTGGGGATAAATAACTCCAAACATTGGATTCTTAAGATCAAAACTCTGTATGGCTAGATACCACGAGAGGAAAGTGATGTTTGCGTAATAAGGTTAGCTCAAACACTGGATGTATGTATCACGCTCTGGATTTGATGGCAAACAGTCAAACAGTCCAACATACATGATTTCAGAAAGTAAGGCTCTGATTTGACACTGCGATGCTAAACAACAAGTGTGTGGAGACTAATGACTCTGGATCCTTACAGGTTTATATCTGAGGGCATCTCGGTAGGATCCAAACAGAGCGGCCTGCACTCTCAGGAAGGCCCTCGCCACACCACTTCCTGTTGCTGTGGACTGCTTCTTCAGCTTGCTCTTCAGAGAGGACACCTGGTGGAAAACATAAAGGCAGAATGTGGGAGAGAAAGAAAGAGACAGAAAGTGAGGGAAAGGGAGAGAGAGAGAGAGAGAGAGAGAGAGAGAGAGAGAGAGAGAGAGAGAGAGAGAGAGAGAGAGGTGGGAGGGTGGTAAGGGAGAGATGGAGGGGTAAAAGTTAAATTATCACCTCTGAAATTGGTAGAGGAAACAGCTAGCCCATTCTGGGTGTGAAGTGTCACATTTGCAGGTCATCTCAAAATAGGAAAGAAAATAAAGGGGAAAGCTTCACCCTTTCCTCCTAGCTTATCTGTTGTGCAGCTGGGAGCACCTGCTGCTTTGCTAATTGAGCAGGGGGTGGGGGGCAGCAGAGAGGAAATGGAAACTCGCATCTTTGCTCTTCCACTCTCACCCTCTCTCTCTCTCCATGCTGCCAGCCCCACTCTACTCCCCATCACCTTCTTGCTTTATCGCTTCTCCCTCCATCTCTTACTCGTCCTCCTGTTTTCCCCTCCCCTGTTGGCTCTCCCGAACTCTCTCTAGAAAGGGACTCTTGACATAAAATGTCTTTAATTATTTCCCCCTCTCCTGGCTCTGTCTCCAGGACTCCAGGCGAGAGTGGAGGAGCAGCAGGCCCAAGCTTGTTTTAGGATGACAAAAGATTCACCCTGGCCACCGGGCCCTGGGGAGTCTTAGAAAGAAGTTGTCAAGAGGCTCTCCTCACCTGCTCAGCAGTAGTCTGACTGTGCTGTGGCAGAGCGAGGAGGAGGCAGAGACAGCGAGGGACTGCTGCTCTCTGTGTGGGCTGTGCCAGCGTAGCACAAAAGCACAACGTTTGATTGGGTTGCACAGAAGGTCTAGATTACTGTAATACAGTCTGGTGTGCGCTGTTAGCAGGAGCATGGGCTTGGATCACGATTTTAAAGGAAAACCTATTAATTCAACCTTTAACTTCAGTAAGTGGACAAAAAAGAAAAATGGAACATCCTCACTAAATAACTTTGCAATGTTATATATTTAATTCTATACTGCATAACATCATATTATAAGATAAAATGCAACAATTAATGCCAAATCTTTGTATATAGAACTCAGAAGAGTGTCTCCTACACAGTACTGTGCCTGTGGCTGGTTAGGCTTTGGCGTCTTGCTCATGGGAACTACAAGAGGGCAGATAAAGCCAAAGCGCTCCAGGTAACAATTTGCTATCTTTTTACTTCAACACTCTGAATGTGGGGGAGAGAAAACTGACTCCACATGCAGAACTGATAAAAGTGTGTGTGAAACAACAAGGATTTTGTTTAACATTCTGTCTATTACATTTAACACACAATATAACACTGCATATTACACCAGTCAATACAATCACCTGTTTATACAGTGCAACATTGTGTGGGCTCTGGTGGTTCTTGGTTCAGAGTGTGTGTCATATATTTATGTGTGAATTGTCAGGCCTGTCCACCTCTGTGAAGCAGCATAGAACATTTACTACTAATTCTATACCATTATCAATATCGTTAGTTTTAATGTCGCAGTATTTGTGGGCAGGAAGGAAAGAAAGCAAGAAAATTTGAGGTTGTGTCAACCATTAAATGACCCCATTTCTTCAGTAATGTGATGCAATTTTGATCAGGTCTCCTTCAATCAGAGGAGGGCCAGAAGTATCACGCTGTGTAGCTACAGCGTACGAGGGATATCGTGGTCTGGCATCTGCAATTAGCCTATCTGGAAAACTTCAGGGAGGAGAAGCAAAGTGTTAGCACAGCTCATACAGAGGACCGGCGGAAAGAAACAGAGAAGGAGAGAAAGCGAGACAGAAAGAGTGGCAGTCTTAAACTGGGACAAAGACAAAACGAGCAGCGTGAATTCCTCTCCCCTGGGCTTTCTCACTCTCCACAGCGTCCCCGCGCTGCCATTGCAAATGCTCGCAGGCATCAAACAGGAAGTTTATCACGGTTAAATTAACAAGTGTCATCTCCATATTCACTCATTGTGCTAAATGCTTTTATGTTTATGTAAAGCCCTTTTTGGAATTAATATTTCATGTTAATGTGCGTTTTCACTGATTTTCTTTTTTTTCATCCTCGCAAATCATTAAACTGTCTTTTTTTTCGGGGAGGGGGGGGGGGAGAGAATCAAAGCGAACACAATGTCAGTCTAAGTGGGGGAGGCATACCCCGAAGACTGTCAGAGAAGACGGGATAGCAGCGGAGTTTACTCTGCACACAGAGTTCTGTACAGCAGCTTTGAACGGGTGAGAGCACTGCAGCGGCAAACACTTTTTAATGAGGTGGGGACACAATCACTTGTGTTTTGTTAGCCGGAGAAAAATGGGTGATAAAGTGATAAGTTCAAAGTTTCACACTTATTCACAAGTAAGACGAGGCACGATAAAGATATTCTTCTTTCATCACATGTGGTAATAAATTAAATTGTCACATATAACATAAGAGTGCATGGCAAATACCAGAATATCATTTTTGCTAATAGAGAAACAAAGCAGTCTATCGGGGCGCTCCTTCACATATCAGACGCAAAAAAATAATGTGTGTTTAGTAATTGGATATTGAATATGGCGTATATACCACAATCATCAGGTATGCCTCCACGGTAATGGTTCTGTCAAACTAATTAACTTCTACAGTTTGAGTGAAGCTAACGAGATGCGTACAGGCATCAGAGGAAGGCCAGGCTCTACAGGTGATAACCCTATTTGGCAGTGACATTTTTTAGTGTAAAGTCACAGTGGCGGTGATGAGATCAAAGGCAGAGAGTCCCCCATTGGGTCCAATTAGAACTGTAGCATTGTACAGGGAAGGGGGCGGCAGGAGGAGAGAGGGGAGTGGGTGGTTGGGGGAGAGGGAGAAAAAAAAAAACTGTTGAGTTATGATATTCATAATCTATGCAGAGAGGCCTTTCCAGTACAGGTCCTCTCCCCATAGCTGTGATCTTTTCAATTTACATCAAGGGAAGATGGTCGGGGATGAAAGTGGGGCATCCAAGGCGCACAGCCCACAGAGGGCAGACATGGGGCCTCATTAAGACCCAGCCCAGCCAGCCCCAAACAGGGTTTTGAAATGCGTCACATAAAGAGCATTGGGTCAGAGGTCAGACATAGAACAGATCTCCATTTAACTCTCCAGCTGGAGATGGTAATTAGCAGGTGCAATGATGATCCCTGCCTGACTGTACGGGATGATACCGCTGTAGGTGACACCAGGCATCTGTGTGAATGTGTGAGTCCATGCATGTGTACACATGGCCACACGCGGTGCCTGGTGTCACCTACAGCGGTATCATCAAAAATGATTTTACTTGACAAAAAAAATAAAACACATCCGACTGTCTCTGTAAGAGATGAAATAGCCTACGACTTCTACTGCCTATTCTGACACTCAACCTGATAATAGCATACAACCTGAGCATATTCTTTAATCACTTCATGTTCCGCAGAACAACAAGCTCTATCTGCTCATATAGTCAGTCAGACCACACGGCATATGATGGTCATTGCTGTTAATTAATATCTGGACATGTTAACTTTCACTTACAGTTAACAACACAAAACAAAAAACATGACAAAAGGTAAGAGCCATGGCTGACAATATTATATTTACTAGTGAGTAAATGAGAAACAGGTAAATGAGAGAGAGAAAAAAAAGTTACTCACAAAACTCTGAAAATATATTTAGAATTTTCCTCTAAATCTTCACTAGAGCATAAAAAACCCTCCTAAATAACAACCCTGACACTTGTCTGTTGTTAGAAAAATAAATAAATAAAAAGTTGGGTTTTCTTCTCACAAAAAAAGAATGTTTTGTTTAAGATTCTGTCCAGGGAAAGAAAGCCATGGGGACGCAATTAAAGAACTACAAAGAAAAAAAATAGTTATGAAAATCTCCCACTTTCTTTTGATGTGCTGCAGTCTGAACTGTACACACACACACACACACACACACACACACACACACACACACACACGCACAAATCTGAACAAAGACACACAGAGAACTGGCAAATACTCTCATTCATGCACACACATACTTGTGCACAATGAGCATATAGCTTGCAATCTATGAAATGCATTCGTTCAATTCAATAGAAACATTAGTTATTCAATGATTTTTTTTATTCTATTATCTAATCTATTTTCAGTCTTGCAGTAAATTGCTCAATAATGGGGATATTACTTAAGTTAATGCGGTGGAGTTCACTACAATCTCTCATAACTAACACATAAGACCACTAACTTCTAGTCTTTGGTATGATAGAAAATATTATGAATACTAAATTAGCAAAATTATGTGATAAAATAAATATTTAAAAACGAAAAAAAGACTGAAATAGACAAACTATTAAGGCACGCCGTGAGACATATAATTCTTAGTCGTTCACTATGTTGATCTGCTGTTAAGTACATGCAACACAATAAGTTAGTCAAGCGAAATGAAAAAGAGTGAGAAAGGAAGGGGGAGAAAAAATTCTGTGTGTGTGTGTGTGTGTGTGTGTGTGTGTTTTAATAGGGCTATCTCATTGCCATGAGACTCTCCCCGGTGTGGGGTTACTTTGTCAAGCTGACCTCTTATAGCAGCTGAGCGGCTGAGTTTTGCATACATAATTAACTACAGCTAAATGTCATCTCTCACTTCAATAACTAACGCAGTGGGTGATGCTGCTCTCTCTTTTTGACTCCTAATCCAGAGTGAACCGCCGGCAGAACGAGCATGTGAAAATGAAGTGCGGCTTTCAAACGCCACATGATTAAATGGGGGGCTGTAACACCGCAGAGAGAGTGTATGCACAGTTCAGCGCCGTCTAAAACAATCATAACCTGTAAAATAATGTCTCAAATGAGCACATATCAACATTCAATAGCAACAACAAAACTACTTTGGATCTTGCTATTGTCTGTTGTAGACAGCAGGACTGGTTCTGGTAAAGTACAGTATGTATCTGAGGTGGAGCAGCCGCGTTCCCAGCACTGAGCTAACGTCTAGTTAGTGCAGCATGTGAGGGGCTTTACTGTCGGTGGCTCCGCTATACTGGGAAGACAACCAATGAAATGAAAAACACACGGCTGTATCTAAAATGAAAATGGGACAATCTGGTGGACGTACCAAAAATCTGTGAGTAGCAAAAGTTTACTGCTGAACTAGATCTGAATGTCATTGATGAACATTCCTGGCCGAAAAATGTGTAGGTGTCCCTGTGTGTGTGTGTGTGTGTGTGTGTGTGTGTATGTGTGTGTCGGTGCATCTGCGAGTGTTTGCCTGCTGTCGGCTGTACTCTGTTGTAGATGATGATGTAGATGTTGTTTTCTGGGAGCATCGGAAACTGAACACCAAATTAAAGCCGCAATGTTTGATTAAGTGTGCCAGGTGATCTCAGGAGAGGCGCGCAGACACAACCTCAACCCCCTCATTCATTTGTAAACCTCCAAATGCAGGCTTGAAATACAGGAAGTAGGAGTGTATGCTTTAAATCTCCCCCTTGATTGGGAATACAAATGATCAAATGTATGAAGGCTAGGAATGTATGGGTACACGGTGTCAGCAAAGTAGCGAGAGGCAGAGAGGAGGAGAATAGAAGGAATTAGGCTGTGATGTGAAAGAGAGCATCTGAAAATAAAGATGTAAGCTGCATTGTAGCACCTCACCTTGAATATGTGGCACAGAAAGAATAATACATGAAAAAATATTCCCGTCATTGGTTTGAGATCAATTGCCGGGATCAAATAAAAATCTGATTCAGTCACACACTGTTGGTTTTCAGAATTAACAGACTCCTAATTCGCTATTCTTGGATACTTTTAATGACTAGCGCGGTAAACAGCTCCACCAACCAAAAGCCAATTATAACTTTATCAGCACCATCTCTGTGTGGAAGAGGAACTGTGGATCTCAGAAAGAGAAACAAAAATACCTTGATCTTCCAGGGAAAAAAATGTTTTTTATTGAATATTTCTTTTCAGTGTGCTTGTCAACACATTGATTTTACTGACACGAGCATTCTCTCTGAGATTAATATGATTTATTAATGTGTAAAAACTATTGAAACTTTCAGTTCAACTTAGGCAATCTTAAAATATGCAAACTCCAGCTAAATATACACTACCTAAAATAAATTTAAAAGGAATATATTTCTCTAATAATATCTAAAATAACTAGCGTAATAACAAAATAGCTCTAACAGAAAAGCACAGATGAAAAAAAAAGCAACAAAAATAGTTCCTTGATCTGCATTATTTTTTATACCAAGATACGCAAATATACCGGTTAATATAGGAAATGCTTAGATTGACTTTCAATAAATACAAAACAAATCGTACAGGTTAAGAAAAAAATAAAGAGATTGATTTTAATGCTGCTGTCAAAACATGCTTTAAAAAGACGAATCCAGAACAAAAGATCAATTAATGTTTTGATTCATATGACATTTCCAATTTAAAAATGTCAATCGTTATTCTCAAAAGACTGTTGCATCCTTTTTTGACCCGTTACCAATTACTCTGCTATTCAGATCTTTCCCTTTTCTGCTAAACGGAACCGCTACTGGCATGGTAGCATTTGTAATAGTCAATAAATCTAAAATATTATGTGTGAAGTTGCGGGAAAAGACCATTAAGGGGCGGGCCCTAGTGGAGCCGGTGCAGGGGTCCTGTCTGAAAGAAGGCGGCTAATTCAGGACAACTGTGAACTCTGAACCTGCTAACAGCTCGGCCACTGGTCAGCCGAGCCACTTAATAGAGTCCACATGTGCTCACACAGCCTGCATTGCCATAATTAAACGGATCTCTAAAGGTTTGCTTGAATCTAAATCAGAGTGCTTTGTTTTCACTTTTAGTTCGACTTGAAAGACGGACAAAAACTGCCTGTGGCCTTCACCTTTTAATCCATTTCATGCTTTATATATTCATGCAAAGTGATGCTGGCCTTTTTAAAGTGAGAATAATCATTACTTCATTGGTCTCAGGGCTTCAGTTTCACACTGCATAAAGCCTGAGTGTTAAGTAGCCAGTGTTACAGTGAGAATTAGAGAGAAATGAAGAGTGTTTTAATAGCTTCGAAACAACGTGCGGCGGCTCAGCCCAGGCACAGAATCGCTCGGCATTAATCAAAATTGCAGGCCTCTTTGACAAACTGAACAATGCCTCAAACATCTCCTCGTGTGTATACACAAACATCAAATGCCATGTGGCATGTCCTCATCACGAACAAGCAAACTAACAAGAGACCTGGAATTCCACTCAATTAGTACCTGCTCGCTTCCTTATTAATCTACGAGCCCCGGTGAAAAGATGAGAGGAGACAGGGAGGAAAAAAATAAAAAATGAATAAAAACAACAACCATTTGTTGCAATAAATATATTAATGCCAGTGTGGTTTTCGTTTCAGGTGGTGTAATTTGACATGATATGTGGGCTATGTTCTGTCATTAGTAAGGAAAAATGGTGAGTAGGGGATCAAAGCAAAAAGGCTCAGAGTCTGCCACTTAATTTATCACACGGCAAAGACAAAGGCTTTTCTCACCGCTTCTGTCGCTTTTCAAAAGCCCTGACTCCTTTTTATGACAAACTCACTTTGCAATTTAATTCAGGGCTCGAGTCCCTGGGTGCAGAAAAGCAAGCAGGCAGGAAGTGAGAAGAAGGCGCTGCAGTCAGACAGACAGACAGACAGACAGACAGACAGACAG